ACGATCTCTTTCTCTGACTTTCAAATAAATAAATAAATAAATCTTTAAAAAAGTAAAATGAGAAAGCATGATTCCCTCCCATGCCTGCAAGGCCTTACCCTGCCTGAGCTCCCAATCCCTCCAGCCTGATCTCCCATCAGGCTTTGCTTTTCACTTTTTCTTTATTCTTTTTTTTTTTTTTTTTTTTTTTTGTAAGACTTATTTATGGCTGGGGCCGCGGCTCACTAGGCTAATCCTCTGCCTTGCGGCGCCGGCACACTGGGTTCTAGTCCCGGTCGGGGTGCCAGATTCTGTCCCGGTTGCCCCTCTTCCAGGCCAGATCCCTGCTGTGGCCAGGGAGTGCAGTGGAGGATGGCTCAAGTGCTTGGGCCCTGCACCCCATGGGAGACCAGGAGAAGCACCTGGCTCCTGCCGGATCAGTGCAGCAGCCATTGGAGGGTGAACCAACGGCAAAAAGGAAGACCTTTCTCTCTGTCTCTCTCTCTCTCACTATCCACTCTGCCTGAAAAAAAAAAAAAGACTTATTTATGTGTTTAGTTGAAAGGCAGAGTGATGAGAGAGACAGACTGACAGACAGGCAGACAGACAAAGAGATCTTCCATCTGCTGGTTCACTCTGCCAAGAGCCGCCATGGCCGAGGCTGGGCCAGGCTGAGGCCAGGAGCCTGGAACTCCAGCCCAGCCTCCCACGTGGATGCGGGGGCCCAAGCACTTGGGCCATCTCCACTGTTTTCCCAGGTGCATCAGCAGGGAGCTGGATCAGAAGCAGAGTAGCTAGCTAGGATTTGAGCCAGCCTTCCAATATGACCATAGCAGGTGGCAGCTCAACCTGCCGCACCCCAATGCCGGCCCCCAACTTACTTTCTACATTGCAGTCAGAGCACGCACTTCTCCAAAATGCTTTCCCTAACCTGGAAAAGTCTCCCAATGGAGGCTCTCACAGGCCCCGCCCTTCTTCCCAGGCCAGGCTGCGGGTTATTTTTTGATCCACGACTGCCTGTTCCGTGAAGGTAGCAGCTTTGTCCGCTTTTGCTCACCACTGTCTTCCCACACTCTCGCTGGGGGCCCAGCACGTAGTAGGTGACTGATTATAGATTTGCTGACTGCTGCCTGAGGAAGAGAGAGCAGCTCCCAGCAACACAATCAGAGGGGAGGCTAGGCCTGGACACCCGGGCTCAGGTGAGCGCTGACCCAGCAGGACAGGCAAAGAACAATGGAGCAGTGGGAAGAGCAGAGGGTGGGGCTCCCTCCCCGGAACCAGAACCGAGGCCATGCCAGACTCTTCTGCCCGCCCCACAGGAGGCAGCCTGGGCCGGCGGGCTGGAGAGACTCCCACTTGGGAGCCGGGCTGAGCTAGGTAGACACCAGTATCTGTTGGCTCTCCTCCAGCCCAGCCCTGGTGGACTAGCAGTGCCCCCCCCACACACACACCCCGCCGCCTTCTTCCTCCCTTGACAAATGGGGTGATTGCAGGGTTGGGAGCAGGGACCCGGTCGAGGGAATGTGGAGGACGCAAGGCAGGTGGGCTCTGTGCAGACCTGGGTGAGGGGTTCCCTGGACAAAGACCCAGAGGGAGCCTCAGAGGGAACCTGGCCTGGAAGGCAAAAGCCGGGACCCTTGTGGGAAGGGCGCCTCCCCAGGACCACAGGTGGCTTCGAGGAGGAGAGGAAGCAGAGCTCCCTGGGACAATGAAGGCAGATAGACCCCCACCCCTCCCCCCACCTCCCTAGGGGGTCAATCTTTCCCCTCTCTGCTCTCCTGGGACCCAGAGACCCAGGGCTCTTTGCCATTCTGCAGCCCTGCCACCTCCCAGTAGGAATGGGAGTGAGGTCCTGTGGTTGGGGAGGGAGGGGAGGCGGGAGGGAGGAGGAGCAGGAGGTGATTGGGAGCGGAAGGGTCACCAGCCCAAATTCCTGGGCTCCTGCAGCTTCAGTCATTCCGAGAAACAAGAAAACAGGGAAAGTGATTTAGAGACAGACACAGAGACCAACTTCTGGCCATGGGAGACGTGAAAAACCCAGAAAGACGAGAGAATCCGACAGAGACAGAGGGCGCTGCTTTGGCCTGCAGCGATGCTGATGTTATCTGTCTCCAGCTGCCTCTCTCCCCCTCCACTCCCCTCCTTCCTCTCCAGCCCCAGAGCCAGACACCCGGCTCTCTCCTTCCCTGTCTCACTGGTGCAGCAGGGCCTCAGGACGGAGGTGGAGGGGGGGCCAGGGCCCAGAGGCTAGAGAGGGGGTGCGGCTGACCCTCCCCATGCGTGCTGCCCACTGCTGGGCTGCTCAGACTCTCATGAGCATTCCTCTGCAGAGGTGGGGTGTGTGTGGGTGCATGTGCGTGTGCGTGTGTGTGTGTGTGTGTGTGTGAACATCCCTGTGATCCACAGGGAGGCAGGCACAGCTCTCAGCCCCAGCCAGCCCATCTGTGTGTCTGTCTACACCACTGGGTGCAAGTCCCACAGCATTGTCTAGGGCGGCCAGGGGACTCTGCTGTCCCTGGGAGTGTCGTCTGTGAGCTCGTGCCCAGCCGTCTGTGTCTCCATGTGTGTGTGTGTGTGTGTGTGTGTGTGTGTGTGGCTGTGCACGCATTCTCGGCCTGTGTCTTCCAGTCCCCGGCTCTGCTTGCTTCTAAGGTGACAGTGGTGGGTGGAAACCCCCCCCCAGCTCCTCTCCTGGCCAGCTGGGGACATAAGGACAGAAGTCACAGTTGCGGCTCTGCCCAGATGCCAGCCAACCTCTACATGAGGATGCAAAGGGGTGTGAGTGCAGGTACAGGCTGTCCTTGGAACCCGAGCCTGCCCAGCACAGACTTCAGCCCACCCTCCTGGCCTGAAGTCCCCACAGGTACTACTGGACTAGGAATGTGCAAGGAAGGCCAGGGCTTGGGGAGTCCAGGGATGGCCAAGGCGGCTGCAGCATCCGGCCAGAGTGAGCGCTGCGGGAGGGGTGGGGCGTGCTCTGTGTGTTTGTAGGCAAGGTGGGGGGTGGGGGCCGAAAGGCCGCCTGCGGGGGAGAAAGCTTCTTGGCAAACGCCCCAGTTTCCTGAACTGATCCCTGCTCCCTGCCACTGCTCCCAATTCTGTTGTTTCAATAACATCATTTTTATCCACCCCACAGAGAGCCTGTGTCTTAGGAGGGGGGGAGGCGAGGGGCAGGGCTGGGGCGAGGGGGGAGAGGCAGTGGTGGAGAGAAACGGGGGGTCTAGAGGCAGCAGGGACTAGAATCGGGGCGCTCCCTGCTCAGGCAGAGGCAGGGCGGTCCCAGAGCCCAGGTCCCCTGATGACAAAGACAAATACATTAAAATTCTTGCCTCAGAGAAGAATGCAGGATAGGGAGAACATTTCCTAATCTGTAATAACAGTAGCAGGGTGGGGGGCTGGGGGGAAGGGGGTTCAGAACGCAGGCAGCAGCTCCCAGGGGGGTGGTCATCGGCCACCTGCAGCCTCCAGGGACCCCCAGAGCCCTCTCGCTGCTTGTTTGTCACCATCTGGCCCCAGCACGTGCCTGCCTGCCCAGCCTGGGTGCCGGCACAGGAAAGCGGGAGCTGCGCGTGGCACTGGGACGCACCCCCGGCAGGAGGCAGGGTAGCTCAAGGGGCAGGCCCCCTCGCTGTGTCCCCCAGTCCCTCCCTTCCACGTCTCTGGGGCGGCTCAGCTCCTCGTACCCAGGACTGACAGCCTGGATACCAGGGCCCCAGGGTGGGGCTCCCACAAAACCTAGGGCCTGGGCCAATTCTTCCCTCTCTTCCCTGATTGCTCATTCCTCCTACCCAGAGCTGCTTCCTCCCGGGGTGCAGGTGTCTGTGCCCTGTGGCCCCCTGCTTTGGAGAAGAGATCCCCAGTCTCATCTTGATCCACTTATCCCTGGGATCTCATCTTCTCTCTGCTCCACAGGGGTCTGATTTTTCTTGACAGTGGCCTCACTGCCCACTTCCAAGTGGCCCCCCATGACCAGTAACTTTCTTGGGGTTCCTAAAGGTTCTGCCACATGGACCTGAAGTCCTCCATCTGTTGCCCTCACCCCAGGACACTCTTATAGGTTTCTGGCTGTTCCAGATGGTGGTAGCAGGGAGACTGGCCCCTGCTCCGAATGTCCCACACCACCTGTCCCTCGGCACTTCTGGGGCACGTCGGGGGGCCTCTGCCCTGGGCCAGAGGCGCAGGGGCTGCTGCCCGCCCGCTGCCAGCCGCTCAGCGTGATGAATGGAGCTGTCCCCCGCGCCCCCGCCCTCAGAGGCTTTGATCTCCCCGTCGTGGGGAGGGGGCCAGGGGCATCAAAGACATTTTTGTGGCATTAGAGAATCAGATAAACGCCATCTCACCTGCAGCTGGCTCTCCCACCCCTTCTATCCGGGCCAAGCCAGGGGAGGAACTCGAGGCCAGGACCCGCGGACACGCGAGGCCCGGCCGTGGGAGTTCTGGGCCCCACCGCCTCCCGCCCGCACACACGTGCGAGCGCAGGAGCGCAGGCCCCAGAGGCTTCTCTTGCGGTCTCCTCTCCCGCCTACACCCGCCCCCGAACGTGGGTTTGCGGAGGTGGGACGGCTGGGGAGCCAGATCCGAGGCCTAGGGCTTCCTCCTCGCTTCCAGGAGAGGCGGAGGACGGCGCGGGGGGCGCGGAGGCGACAACGGCAGGAGGTGACCCTCCCGGGTCCGCGGCTCTGGCGGGGGAGTCCCACACCCTCCCGGGGAGCGCCCCGCGCCCCGGGCCAACTTCCTCCCCGGGGGGCCCCCCGCGCCTGCATCTCCCTGCGCACCGCTCCCCGCCCCCCCAAACTCCCTCATTCCTGGGAAGTTTTCTCTCTTTACAGTCAACAAACCTGTCAAACGTCTCCCAGCCCGTCCCCCATTCCTCAGCTCCTCTTCCTCCCCCCACCCACCGCTCTTCCTCCCCGATTCCCCGCGGCCGGGGGCGGCGGGGGGCAGTCCCGGGGAGGCGAGGTGAGGGGGCGAGGCGAGCGCGTCCCGAAGCCTGGAGCGCGCTCGGGCCCCGCCCCGGCACCCCGCGCCCGCCCTCCCCGGCGCTCCGCGCCCGCCGCCCCGGGGCGCGCAGCTCCCTCCCGAGAGTCCCGCCGCCTGACTGTCGCAACTGCCACCCCCACGGCCCCCCTGCCCCCCGCCCCCGCCCCGGCCCCGCTCCCCTCCCACCCCCGCCCCCGGCTCTGATTTCTTCTCCCGAGCGAGCTCGGCAGGAGACACAGGCGCTGGCTGCCCCGTCCGCTCTCCGCCTCCGCCGCGCCCTCCTCGCCCGAGATGGGCCCCGCCGCCGCCGCCGCCGCCGCCGCCGCGGGAGCCATCGCCTCCCGACCACCGCCTCCGTTGCCACGCTCTCGCTGACGCCCGGGCCCCCGCACGCACCGGGTTCTCCGCAGCCTCGCCCCCCTTCCCGCACCAGCCGGCCGTAGAGCGGCCACGATGCTGCCGCCCGCGCCCTCCCGGTTCGGGTTGCTGCTGCTGCTGCTCCTGTGTCCGGCGCACGTCGGAGGACTCTGGTGGTGAGTGCGACTCCCGATGCTCGGGGCGCAGGGGACCCCGGGACTGGGCCCGGGCTTCCGCGCGCGGCAATCCCGCTGCTTCTGGGCTCTACCTGCTGGCGAAACCCAGCCGCGAGGCAGTTTGGCGAGCGGGTGATGGGAGGAGGCTCATGGGGCACTTCCGAGGTGCCAGTTAGCTCACTGGTACCCCAGCACACGCTCCTCCTCCAGTGCCTCTCCGCCACCTCAAAGCTCTGCGCTCCCGGCAGATCACCAGGGAACTGGCGGCGGATGGGAAGGGCCACGGGGAGACCGGGAGGAACGAAATCCGTGGTTACACATCCCAACTGGGGGGGGGGGGATACGTCGAGGGCCCTGGAGTGAGGGGTTGGGGGCTGGATTTGGGGGGAAGAGAGGAAGGCAGGGTCAAACAGCTGCCCTTTCTCTGCCCACTCTATGCTCTCCGGGGTCCTTCAGAGTGGGTGGTGTAGGGGAAACTGAGTCAGGACCTGGCTTTCTCTACCTCTTTTTCCTCGAGCTGGAAAGAGGAAGGAAGGCGGAAAAGAGACCCAGTCGCCGGACCCTTCCAGACGCAGGGCTAATGGATGGAGAAAAGAAACACACACACACACACACACACACACACAAACGTGTGCAGCCCGGGAGAAATGGGAACCAGGGAGGGTCCTGTAGGAAGGCAAGGGGGCCTGGCCAGCTAAAGGATGGGCTCGACTTCCGGACCTGGAGCGGGCCAAGGGACACCTGGGCCGCGCAGGTTGCTTGCAGGAGCTTTGCGGGGGCGGAGAGCGTGGGTGCCCGGCCGGGACAGCTCCGAGACCCTGATCCCGAAGACATTTCTCCTCTCAGTCTGCAGAGCTGCAAACACCCGCCCGGAATAGCTCAGAGTTTAGAGGGGACAGACTTGGACAAGAACGCGGCTGTATCCGCCAATCCTGAGAAGGCAGGGTCTTGTCTATTTGCATATCGTCACGTCATTGGCTGGACTCCTACCCTCCACTCCTCTCCTCTTCTACCCCTCGGATTTGGAAGGAGGGGTGGGGCAGGCAGATCCCTCTCTTGTGAGGACAGTGAGCAAGATGCCCACACAGGGAGTTGCTGGCCGCTAACCCTTTTCCCTGATGTGGGAGAGGCATCGCTGGCCGATGTCAGTGAGGGGACAAGTCCAGGACGACCCTGGTCCCAGCTGGAAGCATGCATCCTTGGGTTCTGGCTTAGTATAATGCAAGTAGCAGCTTTGACAAAGACAGACCTGAGATTTAATCTCGACCATTAAATCTGTGACCTTGGGCAAGGCACTCCCTCCCTGCTCACCCCCACCCCCCACATCTCAGCTGTGGAGATAACCTGCCTACCTGGCAGGCCTGTGGCTGGCAGGATTAGGGAAGACCAAGAATGTGATCAGATACTAGCAGGTACTCTCCTCAACCCAGCTTCTCCAGGCCAGGATCCCCAGGTGGTCGAATCCAGTTAAACTGAAAATGCAGGGTCCCAAGCAAGACTTTGTAAAGGGATTTCTTGGTCTCCAAACCCACCTTTCCTAACTTGGCCCTCTCACAGGGTGTGGGGGGCAGGCTGTTCCCTCCCCTCCCCTCCCCCATCTGTCTACATGGTTCTCATTCTTGCTGTTCAGATGGCCCTTCCTCCATGAAGCTGTCCCTGGGTCTTCCCTTTGCTGCTCACTGCACACTGTGCGGGTGCATTGGGCAGCCATGCCAGCAGTTACTGCACAGCACTGACAGCCGTCTCTTCCTCCCATCTCTCTTCCTTGCTCCTGGAAGGCAGAGCGCTTGTCTCTAAGGCCCTGAGACCCGGGGCTGGAGGCAGGGCTGTGGAGTGGCATGGAGCTGGTGGATTCGCTTCTCTTCTCCGGAGTTTGTGTCTGGAGGGGTCCCTTTGTTCAGGAGGGGCCAGTCCCTTGGAGGCTGACCCTGAAGCCGGGAAGTGAGGGGTGGGGGAGGAGGTGAGGAGGGCAGGTGTGGGAGAACACAGAGGCCTTCATGGCTGCAGCTGCTGGGCCAGCCGGGTGAAGAGTGAGCGGCTGGCGTGATAAGGTGGCTGGTGACTGCCTCACTCAGATGCGTCTCGGCGAGAACCTGCCTCTCCCACCTGCTTTGGCCCCTGGCTTTCCTGTGTCTATTTTTGACACTTCATTCCTTTGGTCTGAGCCCAGCCTCCCTCTCCCATGATCTTCGACTCTGCTTACCCTCTTGTTCCACCTGCCCCCTCCAACGCCGCCCTCCAAGGTCAGGTTTGGGCTGATGAGTACTCTATGGGTCTACGGTTTCTTGCCACCCCCTGGGCCCCTGCCTCCCACCCCCACTTCAGCCTGGACCTTGCAGGCTGTTCCCTGAAATCTCTGGATCTCAGAGAACACGGGCCAGGCCAGAGCTCCCGAGCTGGAGCAGCTGAACCTGTAGCAGCCCGCTGCAGCCAGGCCGGGAGCCGAGAGGACCCCAGGACCCGTGACTGAATGGGCTGTCCTGGTCGGGAAAGGGGGGACCTGGAGGGGGTCTCCCAGGCCTGGGAATCGGCTCAGGGACCTGCCTGCAGCTCCCAGAGAGACTTCCCTTCCACTCTCTTCTTCCCCCAACTCCTCCTCCCCGCCAGTGCAGCCTCTCTGTGTCTCTCCCAACTGGGACCCTATCTTTGTGAATCGAAGAATTCCAGATTCCAAGATACTGGTCGGGCTGTCCTGAGGTCGCCTGGTCCAGCCCCCTGCCTCTAGGCGATCCAGCCAGTGCTCCGGCCCTGACAGTCTAGAGAGTGAGGCACACACAGAGAGAAGCTGTCGCTTCCCCATCGCCAGCTCCACCCCCTCAGCTCTGCTCCCCCCGCCCGCCCCCAGGAAGTTCTTCCCCACGTCTGACCCATCTTTATTTATACCTCCAATCAGAGGATGTAGAAAATAACTCGCTCCCATAGAACAGCCGAATCCATCTCCCTTCTTCCCTCTTCCTCTCTCCTCTTTCTGTTTTATATTTTCTATGAAAGAAACTCGCCCTCCCCTTGTTCCACTGGGGAAAACACCACCCAGACCCCCTCCCTTGCCCAGCCCATCTTGCCCTTCACCCCCACCCCCGCTTCGCTTATGGACAGGAAACAGGAACCAGAGGCCCGGGATGGCCATGGCCGCCGTCTGGCCCCGCAGGGAGGCAGAGAAAGAAGCCAGGCTTCCTTCTGCTGGCACCCAGGTCTCCCAGCTACCACCCTTTCCTACCCTGGCTTCATCTGGGGGCCCTGACCCTGTGTGGGCCCCCTCCAAGCTCCAGGGTGGGGTAGGGTGGGGGTGGGGTGGCCAACCCCCCAACTCCCCCCCCCCACAAACCCCGGGCCAGGCCTCCCTCTTTGGCAGCTTCCCCTGGAGAGAGACAATGAGGCTGTGAGCAGAAAAGGGCAGGGGCAAAAGGAGGCCGGCTCGATCCAGGCCGGAGCATGCCCCGAGCCCCCCAGAGTCCTGGCACTGGGACATGTCCTGGGGGTGCGGCCCCTCCTGTCCCGGTTCTCATCCTAAGCCAGGAGCTGGTGGGGGGGAGGTCAATGGGAGGTTTGATCACCAGGGCCCAGAGAGGGGGATTCCAGAATGTGCGCTTAGATGCGGAGGGGATGAGGAGAGGGTAGGGCTGGCAGCAGGGCACCCGGCCAGCAGGATGCTCAGGAAAGGCAGGCGCCTGTCCGCTGTGGACACGAGAGCGCCCCCTAGGTTGGGGAGGTGAGAGCGCCCCCTAGCCCTCACCCCCTTCCTGCCCGAGCTCTGCCCCTCCCCCTTTCTCCCCAGGAGCTTAGGGAGAGGAAAGCAGCTGGGAGCCAGCTCAGAGCCGGCTGTTGAATCTGGAAATTAGATCTAGAGAGGCTTCAGGGATCACCTGGTCCAATATCCTCACAGAGCCAGTGAGGGCAGCCGGGTCCACGGACAGGAGGTGACTTGCCCGGTGCCACTCAGAAGGCTGGGAGTTGAGAGCTGGCAGTGCCTTTGGCACCATGGGGGCTGGGAGCTCAGCAAAGGGGTCCAGGCCCCTCTGTGCCTCTGCATCCTCCCTCCCGGTGTGGGAGGTCAGAAGGCACAGGTGTGTCCTCACGGCGTCCAGTGGAGGACCAGGCTGCCCACTCCTTTGCCTCTCATGGCCCTTACCAGTGGGAAACCCCTTTGAACAGTGGCATGTGTCAGGGAAGGAGAGACCGTGCCTCTCCCGAGGGTGCCGAGGGGCACAGGGGAGGGGTGGCTGGGGGCTCGTGGGCAGTGGGGAGGCAGGGGTTAATGGAGCTGGGGCATCACTGGCTTTTGATGTGGTGGTTGGGGTGGGGGTAGGGCCTGGGGGAGGGGGAGCAGTAATTACCGAGTTAGACAGAGCAGGACAGGACGGGCGGGCGGGCACAGGCCCGCAGCCTCAGCAGCCGCCAGGCAACATTTTTCTGCCCCTTCTCCACCATCCACCTCCCCCACCCTTGTGCAGCCCCCACCCACAGCCCCAGGGCTCAGGGCTCCCTCTGCTGGCTCCTGGGAGGTGGGGTCAGTTAGGGACCTTGGGGTGGGGGGTGGGGAAAGAGAGGGAGGCAAGGTAGGAGACCCTGGAGATGAGGCTGGGCATCTTGAGGGCCTGTGATCCTTGAGGGTCAATAGCTCCCTGAAGTGGCTGCTGGGGAGGGGGAGGGGTCCTAGCGGGCCCTGGGCAGGGCTGGCTGGAGGAGGAGACACGGGGATCCCTGATGAGAAGTAGGGGCAGAGTCGGGGAGAGGGTGTTCTCAGACCAGAGTAAAGGTGTGGCTCCCAGGGAGACGAGAAACACTTGGAGCACACTGGCTAGGAGGCAGGCAGGTTCCCATCCTACAGCTGGGGAAACTGAGGCTCAGAAGATTAAGTCTCATCATCCGTTCAACAAGTGCCAAGTAAGTGGTGACTTCACAAGCCCAGCCACTCACCACCATGACGGAGCGAGCAGACAGAGTCAGGTGCAGCCCCAGGTCTGGTGGGCCCCTGAAGCTCTGTGCTCTGCGGAGGTGCTCATGCCCGCTGGTGAGAGCTTGGTCCTGGGTGAGTTTTCTAGCCATCTGGAAAGATAAGACAAGCAAACATGAAGAAGAGTTATGCTGCTGGCAGGATACCACGCACCCACAAAACAATGACACCTGGTGGGGGGATGAGCAGGGGAAGGTCATTGCGGGGCGGGGGGGGGGGGACTTTGAGAGATGCTGGCTATGATCTTGAGGACGAGAGGTGTGAAGGGGGTGAGTGGCTCTGGGGCCAGATATTCAGTGGTGTGGTCTGGGACGGATGCAGAGCTAGCCAGCACTGCTAGGGTGGAGGATGGCAGGAGCGGTCTCCTGATGCACCATTTCCATCCAGCATTGTTTGAGTTTTTAAAAATATTTATTTCTAACTTTTCTTGCCCCGGGATTCCTCCACTGAGGACTGCGGTCCATCACCTCTCCTCTTGTGCTGACCATCCATGGGACAGGGGATGGGGGGAGAGGGGATGGGTGGGGGCTGGGGGGTGGAGATGGGTGGAGTCAGACTAGACAATTTCTGGAATTTTCTTTGATTCTCTGAACCAGGGATGGAAATGTAGGTCAGTCCAGAACCCTGGAGCCTCCGGGGCTTTGTCAACAAGCATGGGGAACTGGCCAGTCCCTGATGCCGCCTCATACGGGTCCTACCAACCATAACCCTGGGGAGGGAGATCTTGGTGCAGGCCGTACCACTTAGAGTGGCCGGCCTGAGGCTTGTCCTGTGCTGCCTGTGTACTGAGTTCTTTCAGAGCTGTCCTCTTGTTGTCTACGTCCAGGGATGGCTCTTTGCTTAGGATCTGAGATCCCAGATACCCGATATTCCTTTCTGCCACCAGGCAAATTCTCCCTAAGTGACCCAGCTGCTCCGGGCTCACCCCAAGCTGACGCTCACCCAGGGGCCCCAGTAGCAGAGTTCCTTCCCTAAGGAGGAAGGGGTGGGAGGAAAGTAAAGGGAGGGGGAGTTGCAGGGGGTATGGGAGCAGCGAGGGTATGGGAGCCTCTTGTGCTCACTTGGCGCTTTCCTGAAGCCCACAAAGGGCACTGACTGGCCCAGAGCGGCTCAGCTTGCCCGGAGCCTACAGAAACCAGGGTTGCAAGGGAGGCTTGGTGTCTTACCCGAGTGCGCCTGCCACGCCCCCTGTGGGAGTTTCACTTCCATGAATTTAGGATGGGAGCAGGGACAGGAGGGCAGGCAGCAAGCTGGTCCCTGGGGACCCTCGGTGCTCCCACTGCCCATCCCGCCTCCTGACCAGCTCGTAAACAAGTCCAGTTCCCAGGCAGCCGGCCAGCCTGGGAAGCCAGACCCAGACGAGAAACGGGCTCTGGGGCAGCCCTGCAACCCTGAGAAGGGCCAGCCACACCTCCTGGAGGGCCCTGCCTTTCCTGCTCCTGTGATTCCGCTCCTATCTCCAGCCCCTGGGAAGCAGACAAGGTCAAGAGTTTTCACCATTTCCTCTTGCTTGTCCCTACTCCCTCCTGCTTTCCTAGGGAGGGGAGAGGATGCGGCAGAGTGACCTTGGGAAGATAAGACCAGTCAACCTTGGGAAAGCAGGGAAGCAGCAGGGGGTGAGGAGGGCCCCTGCAGAACTCAGCAGCCGGGGCAGTGGGGTGGGGGCGAGGAGTTGGTGGAGACCCAGGCCCCAGGGGAGAGTCCTGGCCACACAGGTGCGGGGAGTGGAGCTGCCCATCCCCAGAGCAGCTTCTTCGCTGCCTCCCAGCCCCATGGAAATGATTTAGGAAGTAACATGTGGACAGGGGCCTGGACTCCAGTGAGGGTCTTCTCTCTAGGTGGCTGGTTCACACCTTCAAAAACATGTGTTACATTGTGTGCATACATAGGACTCATAACAAGCACATTGTCAGAATGAACATTGGGGAAATAGGGGGAAAATCTGACCGGGAGACAAAGGAGTGTGGGACAGGCGTAACTCTCCAGTTGCTCCTGACCACGTGCACTGGCCGTGCACAGCCATGCTGGAAGCTGCCTCAACCCCTTTCCACAGGGGCTGGCGCTGTGGCATAGTAGGTTAGGCTGCCGCCTGCAGTGCCGGCATCCCATAGGGGCCCCAGTTCATGTCCCGACTGCTCCTCTTCTGATCCAGCTCTCTGCTATGGCCTGGGAAAGCAGTGGAAGATGGCCCAAGTCCCTGGGCCCCTGCACCAGTGTGGGGAACTTGGAAGAAGCTCCTGGCTCCTGGCTTTGGATCGGCCCAGCGCCGGCCGTTGTGGCAGTTTGGGGAGTGAACCAGCGGATGGAAGACCTCTCTCTCTCTCTCGTCCTCTCTCTCTCTCTATTTGTAACTCTGCCTCTCAAATAAGTAAATAAATCTTTAAAAAAAAAAAACCCTTTTTACAATAAGGTGGGACAGGTGGGTGAGGGAGAGCCACAGATGGAGGATGGATAGATACTGACTGACTCGCAGAGGGCTTCTCTAAGGGCTGGGGCTGAGGCTGGGAGACCCCTAAGCTGCTGAAAGGAAGGGGTGGAGTGTGAGTGTTTGCTTTGAGATGTGTGGTTCCCAGACTGAGTTCGGGTGATGACAGCAGCCTGTGTGTGTGTGCATGCGTGTATATGCATGTGTGTGTCTCTGTGTCTTTGTGTGCATGTATGTGCGTGTATGTCTCTCTGTGTGTCTCTGTGTCTGTATCTGTGTGTGCCTCTGTGTGTGTGCATGTGTGTGTGCATGTGTGTATATGCTTGTGTGTGTCTCTGTCTTTGTGCATGTATGTGCGTGTATGTCTCTGTGTCTCTGTGTCTGTATCTGTGTGCACCTCTGTATGTGTGTGTGTGTCTCTGTGTCTTTGTGTGCATGTATGTGCATGTATGTCTCTCTCTGTGTCTGTATCTTTGTGCGCCTCTGTATGTGTGTGCGTGTGTGTGTGCATGCGTGTATATGCTTGTGTGTGTCTCTGTGTCTTTGTGTGCATGTATGTGTGTATGTCTCTGTGTCTCTGTGTCTGTATCTGTGTGCGTCTCTGTGTGTATGTGCATGTGTGTGTGTATATGCTTGTGTGTGTCTCTGTGTCTTTGTGTGCATGATTGTGCGCGTGTGTCTCTGTGTGTGTGTCTGTGTCTGTGTCTCTCTGTGTGCATGTTAGGAGACCTTGAAGGACTGAGCCTACACATCCTCCTGCAACGGCCTCTCCAAGCACCCCTCTCAGTGCTGGGAGTTCTGCCTTAAGATCTGAATTCCTTTTGCTGCTATTCCAGATCTTCCATCTCATTGTTGTGCAGCCGGAGCGAGCCTGGGCAGCCTGTTCTTGTGGAACAAACGGGGACGGTGGGGTGGATGTGCACTAAAGCAAAACTCCAAAGTAGGCCACCTTGACCTCCTGCACCTCTGCTCCATTGCTCTACACTTCTGTCTCCTGCTGCTCCGTCTCCACCTTTCCTTCCCTCTGCGGAGGGGCTTTGGGGTGGTCTCAAGTTACCTTCAGCTCCCAGGTGCTCTGCCTGCTCATTCCTTCCGGACAGCTCCATGAGCAGAGAGAAGCAGTCTGATGACAGCGGTTGCCCGCGGGGTGAACGCCTAACTGACTTTACCTTCAGGAAAACCCAGTGGCCGCCGCTCCGCAGGCGCAGGGAAGGCCAGGAGTGGAGGGAGTCCACGCAGTGAGGGACTTCCCGCGAGGTCTTTCCCCACCACGCCAAACATCAGGCCCCTCCCCAACCCCTGACGTCAGGACAGGGCTCAGGGTTTGGGTTGCTGGACCCTGGAGCGGGCGAGTCAGTCCCCAGCTCCTTCCTCCTGCCGCCCAGTTCTGGGAAGCGATAGAAGTGTGTGCAAGGACTCACCTCAAAGGTCAGAGTGCAGCCTCCGCGGCTTGCAGAAGTTTGGGCTGGAGTGGGGGGTGCGACTCATCAGGGAGGCTGTTACCTGGCCAGTTCAGCATCTCGTGGGTGTCCATGCCCCTGGGATCGCCACCCCCCCCATCAGTGCTGCTCAGCTGGTGCAACGTCGACCCTTCCCTGGTACTGCTTGTTTTGACACTTGCTCTCTTTAGCAGCCTTCTAGATCATTCTGCGGATCTCTTTCTTGTCTCTCTTTTTGGGCTGACCCGGAAGATTTTGAACTTAGGCCCACTTAGTGCCAGCTGCACCTTGAGTTGACTTCCTATAGGGGGCGCTTTAAGGAAGATGTGTTCTGTAGCAACTTTCTGCCTAGTCTAGTTAAGAGGGGACACAGATTGGAATGGTAGCCCAGACAGGACAATGTCCATCTCAGCCGAGGGGAGGGTGGGTGGGGGCAGGTGGCGGCTCCCTGCCCACACCAAGCCTGGTTTGAGTGACACCCCTCATCTGCTGTTCTCTGCTCCCCAGGGCCGTGGGCAGCCCCTTGGTCATGGACCCCACCAGCATCTGCAGGAAGGCACGGCGGCTGGCAGGGCGGCAGGCAGAGCTGTGCCAGGCCGAGCCGGAAGTGGTGGCAGAGCTAGCCCGTGGCGCCCGACTCGGGGTGCGAGAGTGCCAGTTCCAGTTCCGCTTCCGCCGCTGGAACTGCTCCAGCCACAGCAAGGCCTTCGGCCGAATCCTGCAGCAGGGTCAGTGTGCGGAGGGGGCCAGCGGGAGGGGGCTTGCTTTCTCCCCGCAGGCGGGCGGTGGGGGGGAAGCTAGGCTGGGTGAGTCCTACCTCCCCGTGCGTGCGTTCAGTAGTCTCCTGGCCCACCCTCTGCCCCCTGCGCAGACCCTGCCCTGCAAGCCCCTCCCGGTGCCACGTCACTTGGCCCACCGCCAGCCCCCTCCGCGCCCCCCACCGGGCACCCACGCTGACCGCTCCTCCCCGCCCCCGCAGACATTCGGGAGACGGCCTTCGTGTTCGCCATCACCGCGGCAGGTGCCAGCCACGCGGTCACGCAGGCCTGTTCCATGGGCGAGCTGCTGCAATGCGGCTGCCAGGCCCCCCGCGGGCGGGGCCCGCCTCGGCCCTCCGGCCTACCAGGCACCCCGGGCCCCCCGGGTCCCGCGGGCCCCGCGGACGCCAGCGCCGCCTGGGAGTGGGGAGGCTGCGGCGACGACGTGGACTTCGGGGACGAGAAATCGAGGCTCTTCATGGACGCGCAGCACAAGCGGGGCCGCGGGGACATCCGCGCGCTGGTGCAGCTGCACAACAACGAAGCGGGCCGGCTGGTGCGTGCAGGGGCGGGAAGGCGTGGTGCGTGGTGGAGGAGCGTGTTTGGGCTACCCTGGGAGGGCACTCGGGAGGATGGGCCTAGGAGAGGTAGTGGCTTGGGGAACTGGGAGGGCTTGAAGCTGCATGGTCCCATGGGGGTGAGGACATGCAGGGAACAGGATGGAGGGCCATTAGGGGCCCCAGGTAGGCAGGGCAAAGCCGTGACACAGGACAGGTAAGGCAAAGCTGGAGGCTGGTAGAGATCTGGGTGCCAGGGAGAGAGACAACGCTGGGGTGGAAGAGAGAACAGAAATGGGAACAAAAGAATGGGGTGAGCCGATCCAAGGGGCCACAGACATGCACAGGGGCCAGGGGCCCATCCGGGCAGGGGGCCGAGGGTGTCAGGCTGAGCCCAGGATAGCTCTGACTGATCCTGGTCACCAACTGGATGCCCAGCTAGCCCAGGGCAGGTATCACCTGTCCAGAACCATGGCAGCCTCTCCTCCTCTCCCTCCCGCAATGAGGAAGGACCCAGAAGCTGCGGTGCAGGGGCACGAAGCCCGCGGCTGGGGGTGGTGGGGTGGGCAGGTGGAAGGTTCCAGAAAGACAGGCGGGGGAGACACCAGGGAGGGGGTGGAAAGTGGACACAGGGCTTTAGGTCAAGTTGACCCCTGGACTGGAGATGAATTTCCTGCTTTATCTGACCCTGAAATCTCTAGTGGGTCCAGGCTTCCAACAGCGACTGAGGCGAGGCTCCTGGGCTGCCGGCAGCTGTGGGCTCTCCTGGGCCCTCCTGCACCCCTTGCCCCGCGTGCTCCAGGGACCTCCCCCCACCCCACGCACACACACATATCCTGTGTCCTCCAGGGTTTGGGCCTGAGGAATCGGGCAGGCAGGGAGGAGGGGGCCGGCGGAGGAATGTCCGGACAGGCCCACATACCTGTCGAGAGGGTTGGGGAGGGGTGGCTGCCACAGACGCCCAGGCGGCTGGCTCTGCGGCTCGTCTCCTCTCCTCGCAGCCCGCCCGGGGGGCCGTGAGGAGGCCGGGTTGGCAGCAGGGCTGGGCTGCGACAGCTGCCTCCCTGCACCGCCCTGCGCTCCCCTACCCCCCCCCCCCGCCCTCCAGGGAGACGCCCCTGAGCGCCATTCTGCTTTCTGGCTTTGGACCCTGGAATCTGTGCTGCACACTGAGCCCCTTACCCCCAGCTTCTCCGACTCTTCTGTCCTTACCCTTCCTCCATTCCCAGCTGCCGCGCGCGCCCCTCGTGGCCTCCTCCCCACCCTGCGCTCAAACTTTCCGGTCTGTTTTGTTATCCCTTCTCTCCCCCCCCCAAGCCCCCATTCTTACTTTTGGGACCTCCTCACCCCCACGGTCTCCGCCATCTGCCCTCTCCTCTGCTCCCCGCAGGCCGTGCGGAGCCACACGCGCACCGAGTGTAAGTGCCACGGGCTGTCCGGCTCATGCGCCCTGCGCACCTGCTGGCAGAAGCTGCCCCCGTTCCGCGAGGTGGGCGCGCGGCTGCTGGAGCGCTTCCACGGTGCCTCGCGCGTCATGGGCACCAACGACGGCAAGGCCCTGCTGCCCGCCGTCCGCACGCTCAAGCCCCCGGGCCGCGCCGACCTCCTCTACGCGGCCGACTCGCCCGACTTCTGCGCCCCCAACCGGCGCACCGGCTCTCCGGGCACGCGCGGCCGCGCCTGCAACAGCAGTGCCCCGGACCTCAGCGGCTGCGACCTGTTGTGCTGCGGCCGCGGGCACCGCCAGGAGAGCGTGCAGCTCGAGGAGAACTGCCTGTGCCGCTTCCACTGGTGCTGCGTGGTGCAGTGCCACCGCTGCCGCGTGCGCAAAGAGCTCAGCCTCTGCCTCTGACTCCGACTGCGCAGAACCGCCGCTCCCCCGGCAGGGGGCGCTGCGCCGGCCCAGGCGCTCCCTGCGAAAAAAGCCCTTCTCCGGGCCTCTCGGGACTGCGAGGTCCCGGCCCTGGGATGGACGCCCGCCCACGAAGGCCTGGGAGCAGGCCAGCACCCCGCAAGGCGCCCCGGCCGTTGATGGGACAGACAACACAGGCCCTCCCTCTCCTTGGTACCCAGAAGGCCAGTCTGTAGCCTCTGCAGGTGAGGCTGCTCAGAACTGTGGACCACTGGCTGGGGGGTGAATTTAGCATCAATAAAGATATTTAAACCAATAGCCCTGGGCCCACCGTTTGGGAGGGGCTGGCCCGCTGCGGGATTCCCGAGGGCCAGGCTCCCGGAGGGTGCACGGAGGGAGGTGGCTTTGGCAGAAGCAAACATCTAAGGGGTCATCAGGCAGGGGTCCCCCTCTCCCGCAGGACCGGCTCTTCGGACCCTCCCCCCCTTCCTTGGCGTTCTCCTGCTCGCTCTTGTCACACATCTAGGGCCTGGATCTGCAGGCTGGGGAAGAGCGCTTAACTTCCCCTAGAAGCTGGGGCGGTGGGCTCCACCCTCCAGCTAGCCCTGTTCTGAATGTTTAGGGGATTGTGTCTGTTTCCGTGGCATTGGGAAATTCAGGGCCACCCCAAGTGCCTAGGATTAGAGCACTTTATAAACTGTAGAGTGTGACAGAATGTGTAATTAGCAACCAAAACTCACTTCACCCCATTAACACAAAAAGGACTACCTAGTCTAGTACTTTTTATTTTTAAGATGTATTTACTTATTTGTAAGGTGGAGGGAGGGAGTGGGAGAGAGAGAGAGAGAGAGCGAGAGAGAGCACTCTTCCATCTATTGGGTCACTCCCCAAATGGCCACAGTGGCTGAGGCTGGTCCAGGCTGAAGCCAGGAGTTTTGAACCCCATCCCTGTCTCCTGTGTGGGTACAGGGGCCCAAGCACTTGGGCCATCCTCCTCTGCTTTCCCAGGCGCATTAGCAAGGGGCTGGGTGGGAAGTGGGGCAGCTGACCCCAAGGCCAGTGTTGCTGATTACCCTGATGGAGGGAGCAAGGTTGTCCCAGGGCTTCTCCTGGTGCCCAGCCACTTCCTTGTGGTTTCTGGGAAGCTGACAGTGAGGGCAAGGGACACAGAGGCAGCTCCAAGCTCCTGCCTCCTTCTCCCTCCAGAGAAAATGAGAGAGGGCAGAGTCCATGGGCTGGAATTCTCTCCCAGTGGGGCATGACCTCCTGTCCAGGGAGGCAGAACAAAGAGTGAGCTTTGAATTCAGCCACTCTAGGCTTGAAGCTGCTGCTGCTGCTGCTTAGTTTACAACATGGGCCAACCCAGCCTCAGTTTCCCTTCCTGTATAGTGGGGATGTAACCCAGCTTCAGCCATCCACTGCTGTGTAACAAATAATCCCCATTATCCTTGGAAGTCTTTTTTAAAAAATATTATTTTTTTGAAAGGAAGATATACAGAACGAGAAGGAGAGAGAGAATTTTCCATCCATTGGTTCACTCTCCAAATGGCATCAATGGTTGGGACTGGGCCAGGCCAAAGCCGGAGCCAGGAACTTCTTCTAGGTCTCGCACACTGGTGTGGGGGCCCAAGCACTTAGGGCATCTTCTGCTGCTTTCCCAGGCCATTAGCAAGGAGCTGGATCAGGAATGGAGTAGCCAGGACTCAAACAGGTGCCCATATGGGATGCCAGCTCTGCAGGCGGAGGCCTGACCTTCTAAGCCACAGGGCCGGCCCCAACTCTTGGACTTCTATGACAGGGATTTTCAGGACTCAGCTGGCTGGGTCTGCTCCATGGGGGCTGCAGTCATCCCCGTGCTGCGATCTGCGGGGGCCTGGGCTGGCCTGGGCTGAGCTGGACGGCCCCGCAGGCTTCATCCTGACGTGCAGGGTCTCAGAGTCTCTGCGGGCTCACGTCCACGTGAATGTGAACGCCTTACCAGCTGTGCCCCTGGGAGGAAGCTTGGAATTCCTGCGTTCCCCGAGTGCCCAGGCTAAAGGCAGAAGCCTTCCTAAGGTCCAGCCTTGGTGGCCACACAGCATCACAGAGCCAGCCCCAATTCAGTGGGTGGGGAACCAGGCTACCCCTCCAAGGGAGGAGAGTGGCCAAGAACACTCAGACAGCACAACCCACTTCAAATCCCCATGGCATGGAGGAGGAGGGCGGGGTTTCCTTGTGAGACAGGAAAAGCACCACTTGGGGTGGGCATTGTGACACATAGTGATTTAAGTCAGTGCCTGGGACACTGATTTCCCACATCAAAGGGCCAGTTTGGGTTCTGGCTGCTCCACTTCCAATCCAGCCTCCTGCCGATGTGTCTGGGAAGCAGCAGACGATGGCTCAAGTACTTGAGTCCCTGTACCCATGTGGGAGACCCGGATGGCGCTCCTGGCTCCTGGTTGCAGCCTGACCCAGCCCAGGCTGTTGTAGGGCATTTGAAGAGTGAACCAGTGGATGGAAGATCCTTCTCTCTGACTCTCCTTCCCTCCAGCACTGCCTTTCAAATAAATAAATCTTTAAACAAATGCAAAGCCTAAGAGAGACCTGACATCTTTGGGGGTGGGGAGGAGGCACTCAGCACAGCATGTGACACAAAAAGAATGTGTTTGATAAGGGTAGTTGCTGTGAGAATGGGAGTGAGGCGATGATGCTTGGTGGGCGGGTCCTTAATTCAAGTGCAGGCACCCCCTTTTAGCTTAGGCTAAAGGGAATGAATGACCCCCCTCGCAGGTCCAGGGTCAGGTCAGGTCAGGCTCGCAGGTCCAGGGTCAGGTCTAAGGTCAGGCACAGCTGAACCCAGGGTTAGGACGATGTCCTCCCTGCCAACCTCTGCCCCTTTGCACACTGCCCTCCTTTGCCCCTCCTGAGGACCTCCACACCACAGCCCTGTTCCTGCATTCCCGGTGCTGCTGATCCTAAAACCCATGGCTTCCCCCTTACCTGCAGCAGAAGCCCCGGAGCCCACTTGGATTAGTTCACCGTGGTCACGTGCCAAACCCTGAGCCAACAGTTGTGTCCAGGGTGACGTCTGGCCATGACTGGGACTGCAACTCCCAGCACCCCCAGGGAATGGGGGCACAACACAGGGAGGAGGGCAGATCCCAAGCCTGGCTTCCAGGCCTCTGTCCCTCCACCCCCCAGGGCCCCTGGGTCCATCCTGTGGCCCAGCCCGGCTCAGTCCTCCAGGACCACAGTGGGAGGAGGTGTCAGGCTGCAGTGGGCAGGGAGGGGTAGTTGGGGTTTTCTGCCTGCTCCCAGCTTCCTCAGGTCCAACACTGGGCTTCAGGGATTGCCATGGACAGTTTGGACTCAGAGCCTCTAGGCCGAAGGAGAGTCTGTTAACTCATCGAGCAGGACAGCGGCAGTGGCACTGTAGGCCACACAGTGGACAATCGGAGCTTCCTGAAGGCAGGGTTTATATGCACAGTTCCGCCTAACCAACAGCTGTGCACTCACCTTTTGGGGGAAAAATTGCCTGCAGTTTTCAAAGAGACCACCAGAGAGCGCGCAGAGCCCAACTTCCCCGTAATAGAGCTACAGACAGGACCTGGCAACATCTGGAGCCAGAGAGAGCAGTGGGCAGCAGAGGGTGGGACTGAGGAGCAGGGAGACCTCTGGACAGCTTGGGTCAAGCTGCTAGGGCGCCAGACTGTCTGGGACCTCTGGGCTGGCCCAGACCTAGGGAAGTCAGTCCCTGGTCTCTCTGCTGCCGGGTTTGAGTTGGGGCTGAGATGGTAGCGCCTGGTGCCAGAGGGAGAAACTGAGGCAGTGGCATGGCCAATACCAGACCAAGCAGGTTACAAGGAGCTCACGGGAAGCATGTGCTACAATGCAAAAAGCCTTGACCTTGGTCAATCTGTCTGGGCCTCAGTCTCGGGGAGGGGGTTCTGGTAGCTTCTTTGAACATTGTGAGAATGAACTTGACTTTTACAAAATTCTGGTCATGCGCTAGAGGCCCATCTTCTGTGGCCAAGTCCCACAGGGGTCTGGCCACTGCCTTCCATGAAGAGTGACAGCAGTGGCCCAGGAAACACCACTGGCTTCGTCCTGTCTGAGCCCAGAGATGGCTCTGGGCTCTCACAGTGCTGCCTGGAAAGGAGGCAGAAGCAGAGCCCAGAAGTGGCCCCCACCCACCCCCATGCCTGGCTGCTCAGCCCCAGGCACAGTCTGAACCATCAGGGTTCCCGCTGGCTGAGTGGCAGGGGACATGTAGGAGTGGGGAGACGGGCAGGCGCACAGCCACGCCTAGATGTGTGTGTGTGTGTGTGTGTGTGTGTATGTGACCACGTCGGGAACAGGCAGCATGCAGGCAGAGGGGTAAGGAGGCCGGGGAGAAGGCCTGGGATCAGCCCGAGGCCACAGCCTCAGAGAACATCGCCTTCCCTTCAAGGACCAAGCACATCAAGGGCTCAGGGAGCCTGGAGTGGGAAGCACCGCCCCTTACCTGGCTGTGGGGCAGTGGTCCCTGACAGCTGGACGACAGGACAAGGAGCCCCCTTACTGGCCGGGGGTGCCTTCCTTCTCTTCTCCACCAAAGCAGCCGCCTCCCGCTGAGCACCAGGGCCCTGCCGGGGCTGCACTGAGCCAGACTGGGCCATGAGAGTCCCACCTGTTCTCACCCCGGTGCCTCCCCCAGCCTCCTTCCCTGCGACTGCCTCCAAAGCGGCCACAGCTGGAACCATTCTCCAAGCTGCCTTTCATCCTTGGTGCGGCCCCCACCCCCAGTGGCCCCTGTAATTGTGGTCTCGGGCGGCGGCTGCGGGGGCTGGGGCTGGGCTCAGGGCCAGGGCCCAGGGCAGGTCCAGGGCGGGGACTGGGGGCTGCTGATAGGGGCTTGGCCCTGGCGTGGGTCAGACGGGGCTGGGGCTGCAGCTGCAGCTGTGCCCTCTGGGCCTCATTTTCATCCGTGCCAAGGCTCTGTGCCTGCGTCCACGTCCCCAGGAGAGGGGCCCCATGCCGGGGGCCGAGGAGGCCTGCACCCCAGTGCCAGCCTGCAGAATCACTGTTTGCCTCCTGGGCTTTCCAGGGTTCCCCCGCCCTCTCCCCTTGGCACCCCTCTATTTCATAACAGTGGAGGTGGGGAGCAAAGGGCCCCCCCCCGCCCCCATCAGAGAGAGGCCAGAGGAAGCCATCAGCCTCCCCACTAGGTGGGCATTCCCGAGTGCCAAAGACCCCGGGGCCACTGGTCAGAAATGCAGAGCCCCAGGCCTTGTTCTGGGGAAGGCTGACTCAGTGTGTGCGACCTGGAACCCGTATTTCTCACAGCAGCCCACCCCCAGGGGATGCATGGGATACGTCAAGCGTGGGAAACACGCGTGTGAGCGCCAGACAGGGAGCAGTGGAGGCCTGCAACCTGGCTGTGAACCCATTTCCTGTGCTGAGTTGAGCCTGTTCCAAAAGGTTTTCGGGCCTCAGTTTCCCCCAGAAGCCAATGGGAGTGTGAGACTCTGCCCCGCTGGTGCCCTCTCCCACCCCGGGTTTCTGCTTCCTTCCTGTGTTGAGTGCGATCCTGCCCTGTGCCTACCCGTTCTCACCCCAAACTCCAGTCTCTCAAGCTGTCCCTGTGCTTGCGCGTGGACGGGGAGAGTGGGGAGGCCAGGGGGTGGCTGGGGTCACACAAGGCTCTGGCTGACGCAGTCTGCTTCCTGCCCCCGGCTGTTTTCCTGCTGTCCAGCCAGACTGCCCCCCCCCACTGCCCCACCCCCACCCCCAGCAGCCTCAAGCCCTTAATTCCTGACAGCTGCGGTGGCTGCCGGCAGAGATGGGGGAAAGGGGCGGGGGCTATGCCTCAGCCTCCTCAGTGCTCGGGCCACCCCCACCACCTGACAGTCTGGGGACAAGGAAGGTCCCACCCCTCTCCTCCAGTTCCCCTGGGATGGGCGATTCCAGGAATGGGCCCCTTTTGTTTCGGAGCCCAGAGGCTCCAGAAGTTCTGTTAGCCAAGAGGGGCTCATTTCAGAGAGAGAGAGAGAGAGAGAGAGAAGAGGAGTTGGAGGAATGCGTGTGTACAGCGCGGGAGGCCCGTGCCCATTTCGCAGAGGGGGATGCTGAGGCCACAGCAGAAATAGCATTCACTGTCTGGCCCCAGGTTAGAACTGGAACCAGAAGCCAGAGCCTCTATGCCCTAAGCCGCTGGCTCTCCGAGCCTTGCCTGGACTATGCACTCGCCCTGTATTGAGGGGAGAGTCTGGTGTTCAGCAGGGGAGGGACAAGAAGGGGTCCCAGAGGGCAGTGGTGCTGAGGACCTCCTAGGAGGCCATGTGCACGCAGGGCCAGGGTAGAGCCAGGGCGAGACCCGCAGCATCCGTGTGCACAGGCAGGCGGCACTCAGCACTCGGGGTGGGGGTGCAGCCGCCGTGCAGGGAGTCTGGAGCGCTGGGGTCAGTTCCGGCTCTTCCACTAATTTGTGTGGCCTTAGCCAGTCCTGACCTGTGGGAAGCCTCTTTCTTTTGGTGGATGGCCCAAGTGCTTGGGCCCTGCACCCCATGGGAGACCAGGATAAGTACCTGGCTCCTGCCATCGGATCAGCGCAGCGCGCCAGCCGCAGCGGCCACTGGAGGGTGAACCAACGGCAAAGGAAGACTTTTCTCTCTGTCTCTCTCTCTCTGTCCACTTTGCCTGTCAAAAAAAGGGGGGGTTTCAGTGAAATGACCTCAAAATCCACTTCGAGGATTCAAAGGTCCTCTACGCCCTCCTCCCAAGAGGGCCACCCTAGGGTGCCAAGCTTCATAGCAAGTCCTGCCCGGAGCCAGGCACTTTGGCCATCATTACTTCACTGGCTAGATGACCAGATGGGACGCGGCTCGGTTAACATTTCATAAAGGGGCAGAGCTGTCTTGCCCAGCAGGAGGCACCTGCTTAAGGGCACCCAGCAACAGTGAGGAAGAGCCAGAGACTACCAAGCTCCTGTGCAGGACCCCACGCCCCCTCACTAGGCAGGCCCAGGGAAGCCCCCCCCAACCCCACCCTCGCCCCAGGTAGAGGGGCCAGCTCTTCCCTTGCACGTGCATGTGTTGGGGTGGGGGCGCGCTCGCCAACAGCTGCATCTCAGCCGCCGGGTACACACACTTCGCTCGACACGCTTTGCCCACACAAACCAGCGCGCCCCTGTTCAGGGGCACAGACCTAGAGACCTCTCCTTCCCCCGCCCTCGCCACGATCGCTCCCACCCAGTCCGGAGCGGACGCAGTGGCCGGCGCCTCGGGAGGCGCACACGCCTCCACACCCCCGTGTGACGTCACGTGGGGTAGAGCCCTGAGACACCAAATGGGGGGGGGGAGGAAAGGGGAGGCGGCAGCGCTCCCCGAGCTGGGACAGTCACTCGCTCTCCGGGCTGTGGGGCCGGGTACAGACAGCGCCGCCCCCCCCTCGGCCGTCTCGCAAGCCCTCGGGAAGCGCAGGCTCGCAGCACGGCGCTGGGGGGGCTCCCCGGCACCCCAGCCCCGAGTCCCCAGCCCGCTGCACTTCTGGGCCCCCCTTACCCTCGAGAGGCACCAGGAGTTGTCGCAGGGGGGCCTCGGGAAATTCCCCGGACCCCTGTGCCAGGAGGTGCCCGGTTCGCCCGCTCCCCACCCCACCCCCGAGGGCGGTGCCCGGGGGCGCTGCCCCATGGAGCGGGGAGGCGGGCGCCGTCTGCTCCGGGAGCCGTGACCCGAGTCGGAGCTGTGTGTCGCAGCCGCCCCGACCCCCGCCGATCATGCGCCGCGACCCCCGGCTCGCCAGTCCCACCGGACTGTGAGCCCCCCCATTCCCCCGCCGTCCCGGCCCTCGCGCCATGGGCAGCGCCCACCCTCGCCCCTGGCTGCGGCTCCGACCCCGGCCCCAGCCGCGGCCCCCGCTCTGGGCGCTCCTGTTCTTCCTACTGCTGCTGGCTGCTGCCGTGCCCAGGTGAGCCTGCACCTCATGCTCCGCCCTCCTGGAGCGCTGGGACCCCCGGGGAGCCCCGGGGGGCCTCTGGTTCTCCCGCTGGGACAAGGGGGCCCGGGAGGGAGGGAGGGACATGGAAAGTCAGGGAGCTTCCCTCTCAGGAGGGGGTTAGACTGGTGACAAAACCTGGGCAAGTCCTGGAAGGTAGGGCAGTGTCCAGGAGAGTGATGGCAACCAGGAGGGGAGGCAGACGTGGAGGGAGCGGGACCAGCCTGGAGCTCCTGCCATTCTGGGAAAGTGCACCCCCACCCCACCCCCAGGAGACCTCCTCCACCTCTGAGATCACCCCAGCCCCTGGGAAGGGGTGGGAAGTGGGGAACCCAGGTGAGGTCAGGGAAGACAGCTGGAGAGGCTCGGTGTGTGTGTGACTGAGCGAGCCCAGCCAGCTGTGCTGCTGAGCGGCCCTGGAGTGCTTGTGTGCGTGGATGTGAGAGCTCCTGGGTCCCTGCGTGTTAAGACAAATCCCGGCATAAGTGCGGGTGTCTTTGCACGTGTGTCTGTAACTATGATGGCGTGTGCACGTGGATCGCATTGCTGGGTCTGTCTGTCCCCCACGCGGTGTGCATGCGTCTGTGTGAATGTGATGGTCTCCAATGTGCCTTTGTGAGTGGGCTCGTGGCGGACCCCGTGTGTACTGTGGCCTCTGTGCCCAGAGAGGTACGGGTGAGACCCTGTGTGTGCAGGCCTGGTGGACATGTATGCATTGGTGCAGGCTTACCTGTGTGTGTGTGTGTGTGTGTGTAGCCGGCTGAGTTGCATCGGAGGGGATGTTGGTAAGGAAGTAAAAAAAAAAAAAAAGGTTTAAGAGGTACAGATGGGCCCCAACTTCAGAGCAAGGGTTGGAACCCAGAGGGCCTCTGGCCTTGGGACGGCTGTGTTCTTAGACAGGCCCCTCCCAGCTTCCCCAAACACTTACCCACCCCGCCCCTCGTGCCCGCAGGTCAGCACCCAACGACATCCTCGGCCTCCGCCTGCCCCCGGAGCCCGTGCTCAACGCCAACACGGTGTGCTTGACGTTGCCCGGCCTGAGCCGGCGGCAGATGGAGGTGTGTGTGCGCCACCCGGACGTGGCCGCCTCGGCCATCCAGGGCATTCAGATCGCCATCCACGAGTGCCAACACCAGTTCCGGGACCAGCGCTGGAACTGCTCCAGCCTCGAGACTCGCAACAAGATCCCCTACGAGAGCCCCATCTTCAGCAGAGGTAGTCGCCCCAAGCCCTGCCTGGTCCCCCACCTCCACCACAGCCATGCTTCCTCCCCAGGGGCTGCACACACTGATTTCTCTGCCTCTTCCTGGGCTCAGAAAGGCCGTGGGGCACAGAGAAATGGATTGCATGAGGGTGGCGCTCCTGGCTTATTGTGCTCTTACACTGACACCACCCCCCTCAGACCCAGGAAACCCTCATGTCCGTCACCTGCCTCAGTTTACCCTCCACTTAGTGAACCACACTGAGGATGAAGAGCCACTAGAAGGGGCTGGGGACTTTGCCAGAGCGTGGGCGGGTGAACCACGGACACTTCTGCTGAAGCTCTTTGGGGGCTGGGGGGTGGGGAGGATACACCACCAGGTCTGTGTCATCCTTGCCACCTCCAAAAGCCCTCTTTGAATCAGAGGCACTGGGAGTGCGCGTGCCTGAGCCATACTGGAGGCTCCTACCCAGCAGGCCTGCAGGCCCTGCCCACCCTTCTGCCCCCAAAAGCTCAGAGAAGCTGCACCTGATTTTGGGGTGACCTCGGGGCTCACCCTGACAACCCCTAGAGTGGCCTGGGCTAGAGAGGCTGGAGATGCAGGAGGCCTGGTCACTCCCTTCTGTTCCTATCCGCCTCCTGACCTGGTATCTCAGGCCGTGGTGCTCAGGTCTTTGGGAAAAGACCTGGTCCTGCCTCCTGGATAGGTCTCTCTGGGTATGTCTCCTGGTCCCTTGAGACATGTCCAGTCCTCGGTGCACAGTGCAGGAGGAGGGGTCTTCATATCCCCTGTAGCCTTTAGGCACATGGCTTCTGGGGGAGCCAGGCTTCAAGGCACCCCAACTTCAGAAAGAACTCAGAAGGCCAGGGCCTTTCCCTTTGCACCAGGACCCCTGCGGGGCCCCCAAGTCAGGGGCCACCCCAGCCTCCGTCGGCTGCCCGCCCCGCCCGCGCGCTCCCTCCCGTCTCCCCCGCGCGCCGGCCCGGGGCGCCGTTTCTGCCCGCCGAGCGCAGCCCGCGCGTGTGGCGGCTTGCAGCCCCAGCTAATCCCCGCGGGCCGCCAGCCGCCTCCCGGCCCCAGCCGCCCGCGCGCCCGCCCCACCCGCTCCTCCCGCCCCGTGCGCCCCGCCCGCCCCGCCGCGCGCTCGGCGACACCAAGTGACAGGCCCTGGCCAGGCCGGGCCGGGGCTCCCCGCCGCGCGAGCCTGCTCCCACCCTCGGGTTTCCAGGTAGCCCGCACTGCCCGCAAGCCCAAGGTCCTCGTTTCGGTGTCCTCTTGCTGGGGGCCAAGGCGGATGCTGAGGCTCTCACCCCGCGCTTCGGGTGAAGCCAGGCAGGGCAAGTCCTCCATCCCGCTCCCCGGCCCCGGAGTCCCCTCCCGTCTTCCGGTGCCCTCCAGTCTGAGCGAACCCAGGCGTCCTGATCGGGCGCCGGGACCGGCCAGCGCGGCTGGGGTGAAGGACCCGAGGTCTCTCTCTGCAGCTGGGGGCGAGGTGGGAGCGGGGAACAACGCGGGGTTGGCTTGGCGCCAGGCGCTCCCGGGTTCACCTGCAGTTTAATAAGCGGGAGGTGAGCTGGGGGGACGGGTGGGGGAGAGGTTAGGGGTGGAGGGGGAGGCTTGCCAGGGCTAGCCGCGGCGGGGCGGTGCCCAGCGCCTGTAGGGGGCGGGACCGCAGCTCCGGGGCTGCGGCGGGGGCGGGGCTCCCTCCCGGGCCTGGGCACACCACCCTACCCTACCCTCTGTGTCTTGTGCCCCCAGTTAGGACAGCTGGCTTCTCCCCCTTTGGAGGGGACTCTGGACCTCTGGAGGGAAAGCCACGGCTCCCTCCTCCGCTGGTCACCCCTGCGCCCCTCCCCCACACACATCCGGGGTCACTCTTCTTCGGGGTCATTTCCTGGTCCATCTTGGCCCATCTCCTCCAAGACTAGATGAATTGGAATTCCACGAAGCCACTCCTGGTGGCAGTCAGCCCCTAGTTGTTCCCTGCGCATGGTCAGGGACCTCAGTTCCCTGCCCCCCAAATGGAGTATGGTGGATTGATATCTCTTCTGACCCAGGGTTCCCAGGGGCTTCTCTTACAGGTGGGTTAGGGACCACCCGGAATCAGCTGGGGGAGGGCCCTGAGCCCAGGCTCACTGCTTTGCCCAGCGCAGGAGCTGCAGGGACCTGGGTGCCCAGGGCACTGGGGTAACCCCAGCTGTGTGTGCTAGGGACCCAGGTGGCTGGTGCCTGGGCAGACATCTGTTGCAATGAGGACCCCTCCTTCTCCCACTTGGATTTGAGGAAGAGGCTGCTGGGCGCTGGGCCCAGGCACTGGAGTGGAGAGGAGGTGAGAGGCTAGGCGGGGCATGCAGTGGATTCACGAAGCAAGACCTAGGAGGCCCCCCATGGTCCAGGTGCTACCCTTCCTAAGGCCCAGACCTAACTGGAGTGGAAGGAAAGGGGGGGCGTGAGGCCCTGAGCAAGCCAGCAGAAACTGGCAGCTTCGGTGTGCAGCTTCTGCCCTCCAGGGCCCTGCGCCTTCTCCCAGCCCCCTTGTACATTCATCCTGGGGTCTTGGTTTTATACCTAGGCCTCCAGGGCTTGGAGTTTGTAGCAGCACTCAGGTGGAGAAACTGAGGCACAGGCCATCATATCCAGGATCACCTAAGTCCCTGCTATTCTAATGACACCCAGTAAATCAGCCAGCACTTGCTCTATGTCAGGCACCGTTCTACAGCCCCTTTACCCATGCTTTAGCCTCCTTCTACAGTCCCCGTGCGGCAGGTCCTATTATTATCCTCATTTTACAAATGAAGCTGAGCGAGGTTGGGTAACTTGCCATTAGTCACACAGCTTGTAAGTGAGCAGTAGAGCCAGGAATTAAATAGGGTCTGCTGATTTCAGAGCCTGCGCCCAACCCCCTGCTACACCGCTGATAGCAGCTCCCCCCGAGTGCCCAGAGGTGAGCTGGTGCAGTGGGCATGGCTGCCAAGCAATGAAGCTGACATGCACACATGCACACACCTACACATGTCTGTGCACATGTGTGGCCCCATCCAGTGTCATGCTGAAGAGTTTCCACATGGACACAATTCTCTGCTTAGGCACACAGATTACGTGCATGGAGGGAATGGGGACCAGGCCTCTCCCCTTCCCTCTCTCTTTGACTGGGCTCTGGCTTCTCTAGCCCCTCCTAGTTCCCACTGGCTCCTGAATCCTCTCTCCTCCACACCCCCCTGCCCTCCAAGCCTCCTCCCAGCCCCTTCCTGGTCGTTGGCTGTGGCCTGTAGCAGCAGCTGACTCCACTTAGAGGCTGGCAGTCCCTGTCCCAGATCAAAGGCAGAGCGGCTAATTGTGCGTCTTAACGAGCCCCCCCCACCCTGCTCGGGGGCAGCCCAGCTGGCCACGGCCCCGCCCTACTCCCCCTCCAGCTGGCCAGATGGCACAGTGCCTGCGTCTACCCCAGACAGTCGGGGCCAGGACCGAAACTGGGGCCCTGAACGGGAGCCGGCGCAGACCCAGTAGGCTGGACTTCGCTGAGGCCTGGATGCTTGGACCAGAGGGTGACGACACTCGCCCTGCCCTCATTGACACGTGCCTGTGACAGCTGTCAGAGGCCATGGGATGCCGCAGGGGAAGGCATCTTTAGCTGCCTGGGGTAGGGGTGCTGTCTTACATGTCTCCAGACTCACCAGACTGCCCCGAATATGACAGAGCCTGGCAGATGGTGGTCGGTCGGTTGGTCTTGTGCTTCCCTCTGGACCACGGCTAGCTCTTTCCTCCTGTCAAGTGCAGACAGGGCCCTGGGAACTGGACACTGGACTACCAGGGTGTCTTTCTCAGCAGTGGGGTGACTTAGAGCCACATGTCCTGCAGCAGGAAGTTGCCAGGCCAGTGACCGCGGGCTCCCCTCTTCTGCACTGTGTGTGTGCATGTGCGTGTGTGTACATGTGTGTGTGTGCATGTGCGTGTGTAGGGGCGGGTGATTTCTGAGGCTTGGGCTGCCTCTGGAGGACTGAGTATTGCCATGTGTCCTAGGAGCAGGCTGGAGACTCTGCCAGCAATGAGAGAAGTGCTCAAGAGGCCAGGGATAGAAGCAAGGTGCACTTCCCAGGGACTTGGGTCAACCCTCCTTCCCCAGAGGCCCCATCAGCCGAGCAGTTTCTGCCCCTGCCAGTTCCCAGCATCCCCTTTGAAGGCTCAGGTGCCATCCCCAGGCTTCTTGTCTGCTCATAGCGGGGCTTCCTATGGGAAAGGTGCTGAGATGCTTTGAGGCGCAAGGAGACGCTAAGGAAGGACAGTCTGCTTCCTGGGCTTCTAGCGGCCTCCATGGTCTATTCTAGAATGAGTCATAAGCCGAACTCTCCCTGGCCAGAGCGAAACAAGAAGCCAGGCCTGAAAATGCAGCGGATCTGTCAGGAGGGAGGATCAAGCACAGCTAATGGGTACGCAGTGCGCACTGACTGGGCCATTATTCCAGGCACTTCACATTTACTGACTTGTTTGCTTCTTGGAACTACAGCAAGGCAGAGAGTAGTAACCTTGGGGAAACTGAGGCACAGTGTGGTGACGCTCACTTGGCCAAGGTCCACATAGCTGTTAACAGCTGGGAAGTGGAAGAGCCAAAATTTGGACACAGGCAACCTGGCTCCCAAGATTAGATTTTTAACTCCTCTTCCTCTTCCTCTTCCTCTTCCTCTTCCTTTTCCTCTTCCTCCTCCTCTTATGATTTTGCCAGGGCAGGAAGTGGTGGACAGGGATCTGTGGCACTGGGAGCAAGGATTTGCAGTACGCTTGGCCTGGTTGGCCTGGTTGGCCTGGCGTCACTGTCCACTCCTGGTTGGCCTTCCTGGGTCTGTGCCCCTCTGACATCTGACTTTGATACTGGGGTGGAAGGGCCCAGACTTCTCATTTGCTGTCACTTTCTGGTCTCCCCCAAGGCCATCAGCTTCCTCCTAGGTCTGGGCTTCTCCCACGAGAGCCCTTGCCACAGATGGATTCTCTTGTCATAGGCCCAGAAGATAGCTCAGTCAGGAGCACCACGAGGGAAGGCAGGGTAGATAAGTCAGTGACCAGGCTGGCACAGGTGCGGGTCCCTGACTGTGGCTGGGTGCGGGTGAGGCTCTGTGCCTCCTGAGAATCTAGGGGGAGGGTCTGCCTCCGCTTGACCTTCCCTCTCAATTTTCAAAATACGATATGCCGTACTCCCTGCAAACCGCTTGACCCACCTGTAGCATCCCTCACACAACCTGTGCCACTGACCCAGGGGGGCCACAGGCAGAGTGTCCATTTCAGGCATGTGGACAAGGAAAGGGACATGTTGCTGCTTCTCTGTTCTGCCTCTGGAGCCTGGTCATCAGGGAGACCTGTGGTGGGCACACACCAGGCAGGTAGAGAATTTTAGGAGCAAACTACCTCCTCCTGTTACGGACAGCTCCTGCAGCCCAGAATTCCATCACTGGTCAGTCACTCTTTTTTTTTTTTTTTTGACAGGCAGAGTGGACAGTGAGAGAGAGAGACAGAGAAAGGTCTTCCTTTTTGCCGTTGGTTCACCCTCCAATGGCCTCCAAGGCCGGCGCGCTTCGGTCGGCACACTGTGCTGATCTGATGGCAGGAGCCAGGTACTTCTCCTGGTCTCCCATGGGGTGCAGGGCCCAAGCACCTGGGCCATCCTCCACTGCCCTCCCCGGCCACAGCAGAGAACTGGCCTGGAAGAGGGGCAACCGGGACAGAATCCAGCGCCCCGACCGGGACTAGAACCCGGTGTGCCAGCGCCGCAAGGCGGAGGATTGGCCTAGTGAGCTGCGGCGCCGGCCACTGGTCATTCACTCTTCAGGTTAACCAATGTCTCCTATCTGGAGGCATATTTTTAAAATTTCAGGCATCACTTCGAGAGGGATCTGGGTTTAGTGGATACTTGCTGCCCTACAGGAGAGATGGAGAGCTGGCTCAGGATGCTGTCAATCAAACTGGGAGGGTAGTGCGCTGGCCAGACTCCTGCCCTGCTTTGACTGCTACCCTTGAACCTGATCCTTCCTCCCCGCCCCCTCTATTTCCTTTCGATGGGCTGAGAAGTGGGGAGGGCAGCCAGGGCGATGGGATATCGAGGCCTCTTCAGAGTCTGTGTTTTCTGGGTCTCTAACCGCAGGTTTCCGAGAGAGCGCCTTCGCCTATGCCATCGCGGCAGCCGGTGTGGTGCACGCCGTGTCCAACGCGTGCGCCCTGGGCAAACTGCGGGCGTGCGGCTGCGACGCGTCCCGGCGCGGGGATGAGGAGGCCTTTCGTCGGAAGCTGCACCGCTTGCAGCTGGACGCGCTGCAACGTGGAAAGGGCCTGAGCCACGGGGTCCCGGAGCACCCCGCCCTGCCCCCCGCCAGCCCGGGCCTGCAGGACTCCTGGGAGTGGGGCGGCTGCAGCCCGGATGTGGGTTTCGGCGAGCGCTTCTCTAAGGACTTTCTGGACTCCCGGGAGCCTCACCGAGACATCCACGCGCGCATGAGGCTCCACAACAACCGGGTCGGTAGGCAGGTGAGAGTCCCATCACCCCTGGGTCTGCGCCAGACCCCCCCCGGGGGGGCCCACCCATTCCCCACGCCTCTTCTCTTCTGGGGACCACAGGGCTCCCCCATCTCATTGCCCTCTCTAAATTCAGTCAACAAACATGCATCAAGTACCAGGGAGTAGATTAAGACCAGGGACCCCCGGGGCTGAAAGGGCTTTGGTTCTGGGCTACCACCACCTCCTGCGGGAGCCACCTGCTCCTTCCTTTTCCTCCCGATGGCAGAGAAAGGGCTGGGCTGACAGTCAGGACCTCAGGCGTCCGCCCTGCTCTTCCCCTGTAGAGCAAGAAGGTTGAACTGGATCAGGGGAAGCCCCCCCCCATCTCCACCTCCCAGCTCCCCTGGCCAGTGATTCTGTGACCTCCTCCCCTGGGTTTCCTGTGCCGTCCACTGGACATGCTGGAAAGGTTGTCCCATTGCCTGCCACCTTCCTCCTTCAAATGCTCCTGCTACTTCAAAGGTCATTCATGCAAAAGAAGTAAATGCATATGTAAATCAGAAGACTAGGGGGGCGGGGAGGAGTGGGGGACCACAGCCTGCGCCAGCCTTGTGCTTACTGGGCGTTCAGCCCTGTGCGGACCGCTGCGCCACCTCTCAGCCTATCTAGTTCCGACAACTCGCTCCGAGGTGGATGCTGTTATTAACCTCATGCTCAGATGTGGAGACTGAGGCATAGATTGACTAAGAAGCTTGCCCAAGGTGTTGCAAGGGGGAGAAAGTGGTGGAGGCAGCGTTCGCCCCGAGGCGGTTGAGCTCGGAGCCTGGGCCCTTTAGTTTCCCCCACAGAGCACCCGAGGTCCGGTCTGGTCTGCACCACGATGCTTGCTGGCCCTCACGGCCACTCAGGCCCTGCTTGCTCTGACTCCCTGCACATCCCTTCTCCTAATCCTGCCCCGTTCCTGGCCTCCCTTCACTCTGGCTGGTGCCTTCCCCGCTCCCCTTTCTCTCCGCCTCTGAGCCCCCACTGTTGCATCTTCTTCCTCCACAAAGACCAACGCAGCTGTTCCCTTCTTGACTTAGAGGTGGGGTAAACTGAGGCACACCTGCCCTCAGATCACCCAACTCCTCCCCCAGCCCCCGGGCCCTGCCCTTGTCTATGCAACTCTTTCCCCCAACTTCAAGATACCATTCTGGCCCATACCCCCTGCGCCTGCTCCTCCTCCTCTTCCTCGTTAAACTGGTTAATTAATGGCTGCTGCCTGTGGGAAGCACATGTTCTGGAGCTGTGGGCCTGGGAAGGCTCTAGGCTGGTTCCCACGTGGTGCTGACACCACAGGCTGTGCAGAGGAGTGCGCAGCCCTTTAAGACCTGGAGGGGCAGGATCCCTCCCTTCCAGCCCCTATGGCCCAGCTGTGAGGGCCCTGTCCTTGGTCCCTCTGATCCAGTGTGTGTCTTTGGAACGGACTGGGGGAAAAGGAGGCAGCGTGCAGTGTCCTGTGGGCTATGTGGCGAGGCTAGTGCCAAAGGGGTTCTGGGCAGCAGTCCTAGGGCATGCTGAGAGCTAGGTATGGGGTGAAGACCCTTGCCATTTTCCCTGGCCTCCTCTGGACTTCATTATCTTCTGTCTTCCGGTAGAGCTTTGGCCCCTAGTGGGTGCTCACTTCCTTGGAGGAATCCCACCCCCAGCCCCAAGAAAGGACGGCAAGGCCCAGTGGGAGTGGGAGTGGTGGACTGGCTCCCAGCCTACCCCCCTACCCCTCCACCCCTGGCGGAGCGGGGGCTCACAGCCTGGAGCGAGGCCAGAGGCTTTGGGACCGTTGTGGCAGAGCCTGCACCCCCTTGCTCCTCGTCCCTCTGGGACGGATGGAAGGCAAGGGAATTCCCCTGGAGATCTGGGATCCCCCCTCAGGAAGCAAGAGCCTCCAGTCCCAAGAGCCCCCTGCAGCTGCGGCGGCGGAAAAGGCTAGGGGAGCCGGAAGGAGGGAATTCCCCCGAGGGGGCCGACCCTGGTGGGAGGCGGATGGGGGCACAGCAGTAAGCAGGCAGAGGAATTCTACCGGAGGAAAGACCTGGCGCCGGTGCCGTGGGGTCCCCGCTTCTGCTTGGGGCCTCAGCGTTTGCCTCTGTACGGTGGAAGTGGCTTGGCTAGTCTCAGCGGGCAGGCGGGCAGGGGGGCGCTGACGGCCAGCGTTCCACCCCTCACGGCGGTGCCTCCCTCCGCAGGCGGTGATGGACAACATGCGGCGGAAGTGCAAGTGTCACGGCACGTCGGGCAGCTGCCAGCTCAAGACGTGCTGGCAGGTGACGCCCGAGTTCCGCGCCGTGGGGGCGCTGCTGCGCAACCGCTTCCACCGCGCCACGCTCATCCGGCCGCACAACCGCAACGGCGGCCAGCTGGAACCCGGCCCGGCGGGGGCGCCGTCCCCAGCGCCGGGCACCCCCGGGCCGCGCCGTCGGGCCAGCCCCGCCGACCTGGTCTACTTTGAGAAGTCACCCGACTTCTGCGAGCGCGAGCCGCGCCTGGACTCGGCGGGCACCGTGGGCCGCCTGTGCAACAAGAGCAGCGCGGGCCCCGACGGCTGCGGCAGCATGTGCTGCGGCCGCGGCCACAACATCCTACGCCAGACCCGCAGCGAACGCTGCCACTGCCGCTTCCACTGGTGCTGCTTCGTGGTCTGCGAAGAGTGCCGCATCACCGAGTGGGTCAGCGTCTGCAAGTGAGCCGCCCGGGGCTCCCCGGGCACACCCCCACCCCACGCCTCCCTCGAGAGCCCCGGCCCTGGCCCTCCGCAGCGAGCTCGGCCAGGGCAGCCCCCTTCTTGGCTCCTGGAGAGGAGGCTGGACCAACATGGACCCTCCTGGCTCTGCGGATCTGCAGTCGCGGGACAGCCCAGGACTGCTCACTCCTGTGGGCTCTGCGACAGCTCAGTTGGGCCAACGGTGGCCCTATCTCCTCGCACATGCGTCAGGCAGGTGGCTCCTGAGCCTGTCTCCTTTCAGCCTCAGTCTCCCGCCCCCGCCCCTTCCCCTGCAGCGGAGGGAAAGAGAAGAAATGGACATAAACATTCCCCTCATGGTTCATTTAACAAATATTTATTTTGCACTCTCGTGGCCCTCTGTCCGGGGATGAGGGGCACTGAAAACCCTGATGTGGATACTGGAGAGACACACACAGTGCCTGCCCACTGGGGGGTTACATTCTTGCTGAGGAAGAGGGACAAATAAACAAGTAAACACGCAAGGTCATTTCAAACGGTGCTATGTGCTGTGAAGGAAATAAAACAGGACTCTGGATGTAGAGTTGTTTTGCGGGGAGGGGGCGCTTTGGATAAAGCCACTGGTCAGGGAAGGCCTCGAAGAGCTGTGACAGTCATGCTGAGACCTGTCAGATGGGAGGGAGGGATTGAGGGTAACAGCTTTCCAGGCTGACGCCAAGCGGATGCAAGGGCTGTGGTGAGAAACAGCTCTGCCTCCTGGGAGGCACAGCAAAGAAGCCATTGTGATTGAAGCCACCAGGGGCTGGCCAGCAGGAGCGGAGCCCAGAGGGTGGGCAGGGGTCACACCTACTGTCCCTGCAGGTCAAGGGGGTAGGGGTGTTATTTAAGAGGAATGTCCTAAGCAGGGGACAATCCTGGTCGGATTCCCCCATGGATTGCTGCAGGTGGAACGGGCTGAACGGGACGAGATGACCACTGGAAGGCCAGGCAGGGGGTTACCACCATCCACCTAACCAGAGATGAGGCCTGAACTGGGTGGAGGCAGTGGCGAAGTCTAGAAGGGGCTGGAGCCCCCGCCCTCGGTGCCAACTCTCTAACCGCCCACCTTGTGCCTGAGCCCTCTGCCACAAGCCAGGACGAGTGGCCCTGCCCAGCAGCAACCGTCGGCAGAGACAGCAGGCACTCTGAGAAGAGTAATCCTGGGCAAGACCCAGCTCAGCCCAGCCCAGCGCCCCGGGGAGCAGGTGGGGCCAGGAGGTGCGGCTGGGAAGAGGGGGCGGGGGAGGGCCCGGAGACTCACTGTCTGGATTCTGGTCTCTCTGAGTCCAGGCAGGACAGGCAGGGCAGGCAAGTGAGGCTGGGGGGAAGGGGCATACTTCCTGGGCCTCTTGTGCCTGTAGGCTCCCAGCTCGGGGAGCCCCCTTGCAGGTCAGTGATCCCACCGCGCCCTCACATGCCCATAGGGACACTGTGGAGCTGGCGGTCTGGGCCCAGGGTTGCATTCCCCTTGGCTTCCAGACCTGATGTTTTTCCTGAAACAGACCCCCTAGGAGGAGGGCGGTGGAGAGGGAGGTGGGGTCAGGATGAGCCAGACAAGGACAAAGTTCTTGTTCCTGTCCCCAGTTGCCCACCTGCACGAATTCCATTTTCCCTCCCCTGTCCTGTGTCCCCCTACTCCTGGGTGGGGCTGAGACAGAAAGGAGGCCTCCAAGGGTGGCACCCGGGATGACCCAACGGTTGGGAGATTTGTCCCCACTGGCTTGCCTTCAGCCCCCTCCCTCTGATTGCCTGCATCCCAGCCGCTCCCAGGCATGCCTGGGGCAGCAGGACCTTGCAAATCCTTGGCTGGGCTGCCTCCACTTAGAACCGGGTTTTTCTCCCCATCCCCCAAAAGACAGCCCCATAGGCGGGCGGGTGAGAGTCCCTGGGGAGGAGGGGTGAGCGGGAGCAGCCAGACACACCTGCCTCATTCCTTTCCTCTTGATCACCCGGGAGAGAGCTGTGGGGGCTGGGTTCCCTACCCCCTTCCCCTCTCCCATTCCAGTGAAGAGGAGAGAATGCAGGGGGGGGGGGTGCTCCCACCCCCCAGCACTGTCCACTACAGCACTAGCCTTGGGCTCCCCCCACCCCCGCACTGCTTTCTAGGCTTAAAGAGGATGGAGCCGGCGGAGGGGAGACTGAAGAGTTACAGGATGAAGCCGGGACACCCTGGTGGAGCAGCAACACTGCAGAGCAGGGCTGTCTCCGGAGAGAAGGGGGTGGTGATTGGGCTAGGGGAGGGGACACATTTTAGTGAGTCAAGGCCTGGTCATCCGACCTGCAAAGGAGGGGAGGAAAAGGTGGGGAAGGAGCGAAAGGGGTCGCCCACCCACTGTCCTCTCCCTGGGCCGGAAACTGACCGGAGTGCTGGCACCAAAGGTAGAACCCACAATTGTAAAGAGGTGTGTTGGGACTTGGTAAAGGCCCTACATAGACATGTGGAGATGATAAGGGGCACTGGGCTATGCACACTGGCTGAAGCCTGATGAACCTGCTGTTTGGCAGTAGGGCAAATGGGCTGAAAGGAGGTGGGAGTGGGGGAAGCTGCCAGCAGCAAGGGGAGAACCAGGGGCCAGGCAAGGGAACAGAAGGTGCGCAGGGGTCACTGGGAGGAGGAGAGGGCCTCTCCCACCCCCAACGTCTTTCACCTGAAGGTCACCTGTTACCTCCTGGTAGGGGGAAGAAGTGCTGGGCGCTACTGGAACCCTCGTGGCCCCACGGTGGCGGGAAGCCGAGGAGCTAACGGGATGAGGACGGTGGACAGATCGGCAGGCAGTAGCAGGTTAAGGCTGGGGTGGGGTCAGAACCCAGGCATCCTGCTTTTCAGTCCCCCAGGAGCCGAAGTTGGGAAGCGAGCCGAGCAGAGGCGCAGGCGTGCAAAGGTGGACCAACGAGCTACAGGAGTGCCCCGGAGGAGGGTGAGAAGAAGGGTCAGGGCCAGCTGGCCACTCCTCCTCCTTCGCCCCCAGCTAGCCTCCGGCAGGGGGCCTTCCACGTTGGAGAGTGGCCAGGCCCCAGTCGCGGTCCCTCCCCTCTCCCAGAAGCACCCCCCCTCTTATGTGGTTGCCGGCAGCTGCCTGCGGTCGCCGCAGCCCCTGTGCTCAAGGCACGGGGACTTTCCAACAGGGGAAAAAATGACTTAATGAGAGTGGGAGCCGGGGGCGGGAGGGACAGGTCCCTGTAATCACCGCTCCGCTGTGGGGCCTGCACGCCTCCGGGCCCTTCCCCGGCTTCCTGCTGCCAGCGCCCCCCTTGGGCTCTGTTGGGGGAGGGGCATCCCTTTTCAGGATCTGTGCTCTCCGGGGGCCCTCCGGCCGCCTTGGCTCCCTAGGCTCGCCCACGTGGGAGCAGAGATGGCCTCGCGATCCCTCTCTGGACCTTGTCCTTGGAGTCGGCGCGCGGGGCGGGGGGGGGGGTGCGGGTAACTCTTGCAGGGTCCTCGGTTGGTGGGTTGTAGGGGTTAGGGATGGCGAGGAGAGCCCTTCGCCGCTTCACGGCTGCGCACTCAGAAAAGCCCCGTTGCTGTGGCAACCAGGGCAGCCGAGGTGTGTCCGCAGGGCTGGGAGGCGCCCCCCCCTTTCGCCGCTGCGAGCGCGGGGGTGGGGGTGTGCCGTTACCATGGCAAGGGTGCGCAAGGAGGGCACATTCTTCCCCAGGGTGGGAGCGCCCTGGGGATACGAGAAGGGGGGCGACGGGGGCGGCAGACAGGGGAGGGGGTGGGTGCTGGTCAGAACATGGGAGGAGTTTCGGACCAGACGAACCAAGGCTTCTAGGGTGGATGTGAGGAGTTAGGAATAGGACCCCCCCCCCGCCCCGGTCCCCAACAGCTTTCCCGGGGCCTCCAGCTGCCCCCACCGTTCTCTGGGGTTCAACCCCCCAGCCCCCGATTTCGGAGAAGGGACCTGACTACCGACCTGAAGGGCTTTTGGCTTTCTTCAAGGCCAGACCCACGGAACTTAAGGGGCGCGCCCTTTCCCCCCAGAGGAGCTGCAGCCCAGACTGCAGGCTGAAGCCCTGCAATTAAGCCCCTCACCCGCCCCTGTGCCGCCCGCCGGCCCTCCGCCAGGCGGGTCTGCACCGGCAATTACAGCCGCGCGTAGCAGCTGATTACCTCGGAGCCGGGGAGCAGCCGGGGTGGGGACAGCCGGCAGGGCAAGGGCTGTCCCTGGCCCCAGGGTCTTTAACTGGAGCTTCGGCTGCGGCCCTTTCGTCTTTTCCCGGCTCTGGAGGTTACAGGGAGGAGTCTATTTCGTGCTTCTTCCTGCTGTGCCTCAGTTTCTCACTCCTCGAACGCACAGTGCGCCTGGGGCAGAGAGACTGCAGGAGTGTGTGTGTGTGTGTGTGTGCGCGCGCGCGCGCGCGCGCTGCAGTGTCTGGAGTGGACAACAGGGTACTCCAAAAAGTTCAAGGCCCCCGAGGCCGGCTCTCTCCCGCCTCAGGCTGCCTCGTGGGTCTCTCCTGGCCCTGCGCCCGACCCCGTGGCCCCAGATCTATCTTGCTGAGCCAGCCCGTTCTGCATTTTTGTGGGAAACAGAAAACGGCGCCCCCTCCGGGCGGGAGGCTCCCCCTTTTTGGCCCACAAGGGAAGGCGATCTGCGAGTGCGATGATCCACTACCACTCCCCGACCCCTGATGTCCCTTCGTGCTTTTCCCGCGGACGGCAGGTCTGCCGGAGCTCAAGGAGCGCTTCTCGCCTCCCGCAGTCCAGCTGTCCGCATCTGGCCAGCAGCTGGGAGCCGCCCACCGCAAACTGCTGAGGACACGGCGCCCTCTGTTGGTGCAGAGCCTCGAAACGCCGGCTTCGGGTTGCACTGCCCGCCGCAACATCAGGTCTGGGGGCTCGCCCCGGTTGGGTGGGTCTTGGGTTCCACCCATTCGATACCCTTTGCCTGTGAATACCGCCCGCCCTCGGTCTCGCATTCCTCCCAAATCTCACTCCACAGGTTCCTTCTTCTCCGGCTGCTGCCTTGCTGACCCTGTCCCCTCCGTCGCCCTGCTCCTAAAACCCTGCACGGCGACCTAGCTGTCCCCACTTTCTTCATGGCCAGTCGTCCGAGCGCGGCCGCTGCTTGTGCGGCGCCATCTCTCAGCGCCCGATGTAGAAGTCCTAAATAAGGAACACGGTTACATAAATCACCGCCCATTTGCTCAATGGAATTCCTCGCCGCGTCCTTAAAAATGAGGTGGTTGAGGTATATTTAGTGACTGAGGCAGTGTTTGTTCTACGTGGGGGAGGGATCTTGGAAAATACAGAACAGCACAGCGCAGCGAAGGGGCCCTCTTGTACTGCAGCGAAAATGTATAGACGTGATTTGAATTTCAAAAGTCTAAAACAGGCATTGAAATGCTAACGGTATTTTTGGGTGGGGGATTACAGGTGGTTTGCAAGTTGTTCTCAATTTAATCTGCATCTCTCATTTTCTATAATGAACATGTGTTAGCTGGACATGGTAATAATCCAGTATTCAGACCATTTTGACCTCAATGTGAGCATTGAGTTATACAATACAAATATACTACATTTAAAATGTTTAAAATGGTACTTATTTGAAAGATTGAGATTGACTCCTTTATTTGTTAAATATTTATTTATTTATTTGAAAGAGTTACACAGAAAGAGGAAGAGAGAGAGATCTTCAATTTGCTGGTTCACCCCCAGCTGCCTGCAAAGCTAGGAGTCAGGAGCTTCTTCCAGGTCTTCCACCTGGGTGCAGAGGCCCAAGTATTTGGTCCCAAGTCTTCCTCTGCTTTCCCAGGCATATTAGCAGGGAGCTGCATTGGAAGTGGAGCAGCCAGGACTCAAAATGGGTCTCAAACCAGTGCCCACATGGGATGCTGGCATCATAGGCAGCAGTTGTATCCACTGTGCCACAATGCCAGCCCTGAGAGATTGGTTTCAGCTGTTGGTCCTCTCCTCAAATGCTTGCCACCGTCAGGCCAAGCCATGAGCCTGGGGCCAGGAACTCAATTCAGGTCTCCCATGTGGGAAACAGGGACTCAACTACTGGAACCATCACCTGCTGCCCCACCGGGTGCACACTGATGAGAAGCTGGAACTGGGAGCAGAAGCCGGACTCCACACCAGGCACTCTGAATGGATGCAGGTGCCTCAAGTGGTGTCCTAAGCACTGTGCCAAGTGTTCACACCAAATATACTAAATTTTACAAAGAATCCTTTTTAAAACTACGAATTGGGAGATCTGTCTCCTGACAAGCATTAATATGACTGTTGTTGGGATTTTCTGTTCAGAATTGGAGTGGTTTACAGTAAGAATGGGTTTCCAATCTCTGACTCTCAGAGCTCAGAGAAGCCAAAAGGTTGTTAAAAGGGTCCTGAAATCCATGTGTGCATTCAGTATTGTTTGTGAATGGAGTAGGTTATTTATTTTCCACTGCTTTTCATATGGATGAAGACGCTGCCATCATCTACCATACAGAAAGCTTGTATAAAGGTTATTACCTTTTGCCCAGTCTTCATCCTCTTCAGTCTCTGCAACCCTACATCTGAGTAACTGTCCTCCCCTCGGGCACACATCACCCTTGGGTGGCTGACAGCTGATGGTGCACTGCCTGGTCCTCCTCCCATTCACAGTGCTGCAGAGATTCCGTTCACTCGTTCCTTGCCTTTTTCTTTTGAAACAATTTCAAAGACACAGAAAGTCCACATTCCCCTGAACCACTTGAGTTAATTGCCTACAGGATGCTCCAGTATGCATTTCCCACAAATGAGGACATTCTCCACCCTAACCTAATACAATGCTCACAATTGGGACATTAACATTGCTGCATTAGCCCTGGCTAACCCACAGGCCTTATTGGATTTTCATCCATTGGTCCAAGGATGTCCTTTCAACAAAAGGATCCAGCTCAGAATTCTCTATGGCATTCAATTATCAGGTCTTTCCAGTCTCCTTCCATCAGAGATGTTTCCTAAGCCTTTACTTTCACAACCAGGGAAATTTGGAATACAAGAGACCAGTTATATTGCAGAATGTCCCTCAATTTGGGTTTATTTTTCAGCCCTCATGACTAGGTTTGTGTTACGTGGTTTTGGCAGCAATATTACAGATGTTGTTTTCCTCCTTGTCACATTATTGATCCTGATGCTCAAGTTTTCCCAGATTTGGTCCACCTGGCAAGCTGGCTTCTGTCACTATAGTTCTCTGAGCACCTCCTTGCTGTCTGGCACAGCAAGATGTTTCAGGCTGGTGTTGTACTTCCTCTGCCCCAGCCCTGGCATCAGCCATTTCTCTCTTCTTTGGATGGAGAATGATACTTAGAAACCAAAATCTGAGTGCAGGATGTGCTCATTGTTCTTGAAGTGTTCCTGCCTCCAGACCTCTCCTTTCTTTCTGGATTGATCTCTTTCTATGTGACCGACCCCTACTCATGCTGCTACTGTCCACACTCTCCTTGCAGGCACTGTCTTCCTCCTTCTTGTCTCTGATATAGCCCAGGGCAGCCTGACTGGAGGGATGTCTTGCCTCGCCTGACCCTGCATGATGGCCTTTGAATGACATTATTCAGAAAGGAAGTCAGGCAGGTAGGAAGGCTGGAAACAATTTCACTTACTCTTTTTTTTTATTTAATAAATGTGAATTTACAAAGTGCAACTTTTGTATTGTTGTGGCTACCCCCCACCCCGCCCCCGCCGCCACTTCCCTCCCCCCTTTCACTTACTCTTGGAGCTTCGGAGACACTTCTCACTACTCTCTCCTCCGAAAGTGGCAATAGCTCTTCCGGTTGTCCCTGTCCTCATACTCTATTATTTCTCCGATACTTGATAGCCAATCCACCTGTTTGTTCCTTGTCAATGTAGATCTTGAATCTGATCATATATCAGCCCCTTCATTACCATCTTGGTCCAAGCCACTGTCTTCTCTTGCCTTGATTGGCTACAGTTGCCTCCAAGTTGAGCCCTCACACCCAACCCCCCAGTCTGATTCTTTGGAACTGTCAGCCATGAAGTTGCCTTCTCAGCTCAGGATTTTCCAAAGTCTTCCTATCTCCTCAGAACACAAGCCCACATACTGACAGTGATTTACACAGAACCTCCTTGCTGTCCCCTTCAGCTCATCTCCTATTCACCTCCTCATCCATTGTGCTTCTGCCACATTGGCCTTCCAGGAGATCTTTGAATAAGCCAAACACCGTCCTGCCTCAGGGCCTTTGCAAGTATGATTTCCTTTGCCTGAAATAGATTTCCTCAATAGATTTTCCTTCCTTAGAATATTTCCTTATGAGAGGGAGCTTTACAGAACAACTCTTAGAAAATGGCAAACTTCCTCTTCCTTTTTATTTTTCTTTATAGTCTGTGTCACACACTTGACATATTTGTGTGTTTGTTTACTGTCTGCCTTTGTGCTCTATAATGGAAACTCCATGAGAGCTGAGACTGTGGTTTGTTCTGTATTTCTAATGCCCAAAATGGTAGTGATACATTGTAGGCATTAACTAACTATAAATGGATGAATGCATGATTGTCCATGGGAACAACTGCCCATCTCTGTCTTCAGGCTCAGCCTTCCTTCCTACAACTTTTCTTGACATTCTGGCTACCAACTAGACGTGTTTTGCCATGTGTCTGTGCCCCACAAACTAAAGATTTTTTACCTTGAGTCATCCTTTTATGTGTCTATATGTTAGTTTTAGGACTGGGACTCTCTTTGTTCATTGCAATTTTTTCAATGCCTCGCACAGTGCCTGGCATACAGCATCCATCCCAGATGCCACAATAGCCTCCCATCTGGCCCCTCTTTTTTTGTTTGTTTGGACAGGCAGAGTGGACAGTGAGAGAGAGAGACAGAGAGAAAGGTCTTCCTTTTTGCTGTTGGTTCACCCTCCAATGGCCGCTGCGGCCGGCACACTGCGCTGATCCGATGGCAGGAGCCAGGTACTTCTCCTGGTCTCCCATGGGGTACAGGGCCCAAGTACTTGGGCCATCCTCCACTGCACTCCCTGGCCACAGCAGAGAGCTGGCCTGGAAGAGGGGCAACTGGGACAGAATCCGGCGCCCCGAACGGGACTAGAACCCGGTGTGCTGGTGCCACAAGGCGGAGGATTAGCCTATTGAGCCGCGGTGCCAGCCCTCATCTGGCCCCTCTATTCTCTCTCTCTCTCTCTCTCTCTCTCTCTCTCTCTCATTTATTTGAAAGTCAGAGTTACAGAGAGACAGGGAGAGACAGAGGGATCTTTCATCCACTGTTTACTCCCCAGATGGCTGCTATGGCCAGGTCTGGGCCAGGTCAAAGCCAAGAGCCAGGAAGCTTCTTTAGGGTCTCTGACATGGGTGTCAGCGGTCCATACACTTGAGCCATCTTCCTCTGCTTTTCCCAGGCTATTAGCAGGGAGCTGAATCAGAAGTGGAGCAGCCAGAACCCACACGAGATGCCGGTGTAGCCCACTATGCCACGAAGCCAGCTCCACATTTTCGCCCTTTTAAATCGATTCATCTCTATCAGGTTTCTATATTTTTAACTCCGATAAAGTGCTCTAATCATGTCATTTCCTCTGACTAAAGCTTTCAATGGATCTTTGTACCAATTAGGTTTTTAAATTGCCAACAACAGAAGTGGACTCTGGTTCACTTAAGTAGGAGAGGAGTTTGGCAGGGATGATATTGGGCAGCTTACAGAACTGACAGCCTTAGGAATAAGCTCGGTTAGTAGGCAAGAACCAAGAGAAGCGAGATGGTCAGAACTTCCATCGTACCCTGTCCCAGAGCAGCCTGGTTAGGGGCTGCTGCTCTGGCTCTGGGGGCTGTCTCCCTGCGCACTGGCTGTTGCTTCCCCTGGGGTGGATTCCAAACAATCCCCTTCTCCTTGGGTCCCTTACTGAAGATTCAAAGAGCTGAGCAGGAGCACTGATTTGAACTTGACCTTCCTGCCAGGTTTCTGACTTTCCATTAAGACTGGCTTGAGGAGGATTACCAACATAGGAAGAGGGCTCAGAGGCAGGGCAACTAAAGACCCTAGTGCACCTCCACATACGGGTTCCTGAGCATGTCACCAATGCCCTCCACCACCTGCCACAGCGTGTCATGTCTAGTTTTCCCGCTAGCACACCACGCTATCCTGAAGCACAATTGTACACTGTCCAGTGTTGCTCCTTCCTGTCTTGGCTTCAGCAACACCCCTGCTCCACGGGGTTTGTCCTTTCCCCTTTGTTCTGAGCTGGTCCCACAATTTATTTTCACTGACAGCATGTTGTGCAAGTGGCGCTGCGGGACTTCCAAGGACAGGCCAGAAGGAGTCGTGCAGCTCTGCCTCAGTCTCCTGGTATGTTCCCCCTGGGGCAAGCCAACCACCATGGAGGAGCTCTGTCCACCTGGGCACCACCATGCCGTGAGGAAACCTAACAAGCCACATGGGAAGGTCGCATGGAGAGAAGGCAGGCCTGGCCAGTCTCTGTCTGTCCCAGCCAATCGGGATGAGGTGCCAGACTTGTGATTAGAAAAGTCATCTTGGACTTCCAGTCCAACTGAGCCCTCAGGTGATGTCAGCCCGAGCCCCTGTCAGACTGTAATCTCACCTGAGAGCCTCCCATGTGCAAACCACCCGGCCGAGGGCAGCCTCCCTAGGACTGTGAGATGTGGTAATAAGTTGTTGTTCAATGCCACCGCATTGGGGGTGCTTTGTTCAGCAACGCAGTACTCAAACAGCCTCCTTCGTAGCTCATGTTTTGCTCTCTCTGGAGTGTCCCCCACTGTCCGATGCCAGCCAGGTGCCCACCCACAGCTTCACTTGTCAAAATCTGTATGTTGAGGGTGGCACAGTGTGGAGGAGAGAGTTAGGCTTGGAGCTGAATCCTCTTTTAGTCTCACTATCCTTGCGACCTTGGGCAAATTAATTGATTTCTTTAGACCTCAGTTTCTGCATCTGCTGAATGGAAAGAAAAACACCCATTTCCTAGAGTAAAATATCTGTGACTGGTCCATGTTGTCTCATGGATGGGTGGGAGGTCTTTAGCTGATACAGGACATGTAGACTTGCATCAAAGGGCTCTCCTGAGGTCCTATTCCCAACACTAATGAACTCTATGGGTTTGGACAAATAACTTCATCTCTGGGCCTTGCTGGCCTCCCAAGTAGCATGTGTAATGGGGTTTCTTTGGGCGGTTTTGTGGTGCTATGCAGCACTGTCCCCTCAAGGTAGAATGTCCAGACCCTTAGGCCGTGTCGCTTAACTGGCATGGCATCAGGATCCTGAGGATGTCCACAATTGGGGCTCAAGCCTAGTGCCCTGGGAACGTGGTGACAGATGGCAGGTAGGAACAGCAGAGGCTGAGACGGCATGGAATAGAGCAGAGGCTGGGCAGGACCGTCTTGTGGCTCAGGGCACATCCATTCCTCGGCTTTCAGGGCCTTCCCAGTGGAGAAGGAAAGATCTGGGGCACTGTAAGGGCAAGGTAAGCACCCAGACATCTCTGTTGTGGGGTCTCCTGGGGAAAGAGCTGAGAATAAGAAGCAGAAGATACTTTCCCATCAGAGAGGGAAGAGGAGGAAAGACAGGTGGGCCAGGAAGCTATGGGGGCCCCTGGGCCTGTGGACAGGCTGAGAGGCAGCAGGTGATGGTGAGATGGGTGGTTTCAGGCAGCAGTCCTGACCATGTGGCTGGACGGAACTGCCAGGCTGCTACTCAGGTTTCCACGGACACATGGGGATTGGGGAAGTTACAGAAGCACGCGCGCTGTCTGCTTCCAGTTGCACCTGGTGCAGAACGGGCAAAACAAATTAATGCCATTGGAAGGCAGGATGGTGGGCACCTGTGCAGGGGAACCAGCGACTAGAAGGAAACGCAGGGGTTCCTGGGGGTTGGCAACATTTTCCTTCTTCACCAGGGCCTGCTCTCACCACTGTGTTCATTTGTGAACTGAAGGTTTGTGCACTTTCCTGTTACTTCAATTACATGTTAAAAAACACTTATGAACTCGGGGGGGGGGGGCTGGCACCGTGGTGCACTAGGTTAATCCTCTGCCTGCGGCGCCGGCATCCCTTATGGGTGCCAGCTCTAATCCCGGTTGCTCCTCTTCCAGTCCAGCTCTCTGCTGTGGCCTGGGAAGGCAGTGGAGGATGGCCCAAGTGCGTGGGCCCCTGCACCCACATGGGAGACCAGGAGGAAGCACCTGGCTCCTGGCTTCGGATCGGTGTAGCTCTGGCCATTGTGGCTGTTTGGGGAATGAACCAAAGGAAGGAAGACCTTTCTCTCTCTCTCTCCCTCTCACACTGTCTGTAACTCTACCTGTCAAAACACACACACACACACACACACACACAAAGGTGGGGCTGGCGCTGTGGCATCCACCTGCACCAATTCTCTTCCCAGATGCTCCACTTCTGATCCAGCTCCCTGCTGATGGGCTGGGGAAGCAGTGGAAGATGCTCTGGGTGCTTGGGCCCCTGGTACCCATGTAGGAGACCTGGAAGAAGCTCCTGGCTCCTGGCTTCAGATTGGCTCAGCTCCGGCTGGTTGCGGCCGTTTGGGGAGTGGAGTGGATGGAAGATCTCTGTTTCCCTGTCTGTAACTCTGCCTCTCAAGTAAATAAGTAAAACTTACCCCCCCCCCCCACACACCCACACGGGGCTGGCACTGTGGCACAGTGGTCTAAGTGCTTAAGTGCTAGTTGTGAGGTCGGCGTCCCATGTTGAAATATCAGTTCAAGTCCTGACTGCTGCACTTGCCATCCAGGTCGTGGCTAACACGCCTGGGAAAGCAGCGGAAGGTGGCCCAGGTGCTTAGGCTTTTTGGAGACCAGTATGGAGTTCCTGGCCCAGCCCTGGCTATTGCAGCCATTTGGGGAGTGAACCAGTGGATGGAAGATCTCTTCCCGCCACCCCCGCCCTCTGCCTTTCAAATAAATAAATAAATAAATACATAAATCTACACACACACACTCACACCCAACAACTTGGGAAATCGAGGGTGAATGGTTATTTCCCATCTCACGCCCTCTGAGACGGCACCTCTGTTGGGGGAGTGGGCAAGAGATTAGTGGGCTGGGGGTAAGGACTGCCTGGTTTCTGGCTAGACGTTTCATTTCTTCCTGCATATTCCTTCATTAATTCACTTAACGTTTAACAACTCCCTCCATATTGAACACTGTACTCACCGACAGGGACAAAGATTGTTATTAATTACAGCCGTTTCCATTTGCTTAGAGCTGAGTGTGGAGTAGGCACTGAACACCCCTGTCACCCTCACAATAACCCTGGTATTAGCCCCAAATGTCAGTTGAAGGCGTTTCAGAAAGGCTAGCAAATTGCTTAAGGTCACACAGCGAAGAAAATGTCTGTTTTTTCATATGCACCTGCTTCTGTGGATCCAAAGCCTAGGTACTTTTCACTGAGCCCCAGGGTCTTCCAGGAACCTTGGGGTGGAAGGACCTGTAGACAGATTGCTCTACTCGGGTTACGAATAGTTTGGGCCACACCCTCTCCTGTGACGCTCCGCAGGCTCCTCCATTCCCCCTGAGCCTGCTTCTCCATTTGTACACCGAGGGAGGACAACCACGCCTTTAAGGCGCCCGGAGCCCGGAGCCCGGAGCCCGGAGCGACAGCCTAGGACCGGCAGTCGCTGGCCCTGCTGGGTCCTCATCACCCACGTGTGCAGACCCCGGCCAGGGCCCGCGCAGCCTCGGGCGCCGGCTTCCAGGTGGTCCCTCGCCTCCCGACCGTAACTTTCAGAGTCGGGCAGACTAAATACCCTAGTATGCCTTCATAGCTGGGTCCCCGCCGCCACCGAAAGGTCAGGCGTACAGGCCCCGCCCCAAACACCGCGAGAGGACGCCGCGCTAGCAGCCGGGCGGGACTGTCTTCCGGGGTCGGCTGGGCGGACGAGACTCGCGCTGTCGCGAGATCTCGCGAAACCTCGGGCTTCCAGGCCCCAGGTGCGGCGCGGGCCCGAGGGAGCGCGCTCGTTTTGGAACCTGAGACTGAGGCCAGCGGAGGGCGGGGGTCGCAGGAGGGGTGCGCTGGGTCAGCAGAGGCCTCTGCTTGGCGTTTGGCCGCCCCCATTCACTGGGCAGCTACTATGGGCGGGCCAGACCGGAAGGGATCTTGCCGGCGTGTTCACATGATTGTGTTTGTATAAAATTAGCAAAAACCAAAGCTATTTCACCCTAAATTTGCTAAGCCGGAGTGGCTGTGGACATTAAGCATTTGGGAGCAGAGGGTTCTCAGGGGTTTAGCGGGGTGTATTCGTGTGGTTCCGTGTATTTCTGTGATTTAGTGGCATCTATGCATGTGTATACCAAGTTACTGCTAGCTTTCCCAGTGTGGGAGTCCCGCTCACGGGATTAACACCACCTGGGACAGCAGGGCCCCATATGAGCGCTGGTTCGAGTCCTGCCTGCTCTACTTCCAGTCCAGCCCCCTGCTAAATGTGCCTGGGCAAGCAGCAGAAGATGACCCAAGTGCTTGGGCCTCTACCACCCACGGGGGAGACTGGGATGAAATTCTATGCTCCCGGCTTCAGACTGGCACAGCCCTGGCCATTGCTGGCATTTAGGGAGTGAACCAACATCCTCAGATGTTCCCCTGTCTAGATTGAGAGATACTAAAGATTAGTCACTGCACAAGACAGTGTGAAATTCTTTGAAATCTTATAGCTCGTAAAGAAGCTTGATAGAGATTCTCCCAAATTTGACAACCATCCAAAAATAGAGTTGAGAAACTGACTAGCACTAGTAACTAGTTAAGTTAACAAATACACTATTTTTAAAGAATTGTGTCATGTTCTTGGTATGTATGAGCTTTTGAAATTTTGTATCTGGATATAATTCTTTTTCACATTTGGACCTCGTTATATATTTTAAATTTTATAATCTTTTTCTTAAGGAACCCCATGAAATGATGTTTGTATGTGCTCAGGCCTGAAAAACCTGGACCTGCCCTTGCATGCCTATTATCTCTTCCTTGACCTGTTGAACAGGGCAGGGTGTATATTAATTCTCTTTAATTTAAAAATATTTATTTATTATTTATTTGAAAGGCGGAGTTACAGAGAGACAGGGAGAGACACGGAGAGAGAGAGAGAACAAGAGATCTTCCATCCATTGGTTCGCTCTCCAAATGGCCATGATGGGTTGACGGGGCCAGGCTGAAGCCAGGACCCTGGAATTCCCCCCAAGTCTCCCACATGGCTGCAGGTGGGGCTGGAGTTGGGCCGTCTTCCGCTGCTTTCCCAGGTGCATTAGCAGGGAGCTGGATTGGAAGCAGAGCGGCCGAGTCTCAAGCATCTCAAGGAGATGCTGCTGTCACAGGTGGTGGCTTAACCCGCTGTGCCACAACACTGGGTCTGTCTTCCTTTTTTTTATTTTTGTTTTCTATTTTATTTATTTATTTTTTTTAACAGGCAGAGTTAATGAGAGAGAGAGACAGACAGACAGAGAGAAAGGTCTTCCTTTTTCTGTTGGTTCACTCCTCAAGTGGCTGCTACGGCTGGCGCACTGTGCCGATCTGAAGCCAGGAGCCAGGTGCTTCCTCCTGGTTTCCCATGGGGTGCAGGGCCCAAGGACTTGGGCCATCCTCCACTGTACTCCCGGGCCACAGCAGAGAGCTGGCCTGGAAGAGGAGCAACCAGGACAGAACCGGTGCCCCAACCAGGACTAGAACCCGGTGTGCTGGCGCCGCAGACAGAGGATTAGCCTAGTGAGCCAGGATGCTGGCCTGTCTTGCTTTTTGAGATGAGGAGCTGGGAGCCCTGAGACACTGTCGCTTGCCCATACCCTTGCTACTGTGATAGAGAGAGAACTAAAACCCAGCTCTTTTGGTTCTTGCTTCAGACATGTGGTTACACCAGGGGCAAGTGCCCTATTCCCAAACCTCTCACTGTCTTCAATGGGCAGGGCTTGGGTGTGCCAGGCTGGCCTGCCTTGAGTTCTGAGTTGTGCGTGGTCCAGATGAGAGGCCTGGTAAAGCCTTGTTGATGTCTTCCTACCCGCTCCTCGCCCAGCGACAAAAGAGGGCCAGCGAGCGGTGGGCAGTGACCCCTGAACAGCTGTAGCCCTGGGTCCTCCGTCTGTGTCAGGTGTGCGCGGTCCTTGAGCAGAGACAGAAGCCGCTGGGGAGCCGGCTGTGTGTGAATATGCATGGGAACATGGCTTTGGTTATTGCTCAAGCCAAGTGTATTTTTGGTCTTGTTTCCCTGGAGACTTATAGGGAATCGGGAGAGGCCTTCCCAAGTGTAGTATAATTTTGCCAGCTCCACTTCCTTTCCAATTCCCCAAATTAGTCACCTCGTCCCTCCACCTGGACTGACTTCTCCAAGGTCACCAATGACTTCTTTGTGGCTAAATCCAACGTTTCAGCTCTCATCTGGATCGGCTCTCCCCAGCCACCAGTGGTCTTTGCAAGTGTGAACCTGACCCCTCTGCCTAAACTCCTTCAGTGGTTCCTTGCAGTGGGGATTAAGGCTCAGCAGTGGGACCCAGCCCTCACCAGGTCCTTGAGGTCACATGTGCTAATTTTTCCTCTCAGATGGCCAGTGCTCTTTTCTGATGCGCCTTTGCATGTATATTGCTTCACCACGATTTTAGATGTTGTTTTGGTACTGAGAGGCCAACAGCAGAAGCGACCACAGCAGGCAAAAATCCCTGCCATGCTGTGGCTCCCTTCTAGCAGCTGTTTTTTGCTGGCATCTTACTCTGTTTTGTTTTGGCCATTGTTTGTTTTTGAATGATAGGGAGTTGGGGATTATTTATTATTTTTTAAATAGTGGTGTCATTGAGATATAATTCATATACCTTAGACTTTATCCCATATAAAACACACGACTCAACTGAGAATATTCAGGGTTGTGGGGCCGGCGCTGTGGCATAGTGGGCTAAGCCTCTGCCTGCCGTGCCGGCATCTCATATGGACAGCGCTTGGTATCCTGGCTGCTCTTCTTTCCATCCCGCTCTCTGCTTATGGCATGGGCAAGCAGTAGAAGGCGGCCCAAGTCCTTGGGTCCCTGCATCCATGTGGGAGACCTGGAGGAAGCTCCTGCCTCCTAGCTTCGGATTGACCTGGCTCTGGCCATTGTGGCCATTTGGGATGTGAACCAGTGGATGGAAGGCCTCTTTCTCTGTCTCTCTCTCTCTTTCTCTGTGACTACAACCTTTCAAATAAATAAATAAAATCTTTTTTAGTTTTTTTTTTTAAAGATTTATTTATTTATTTGAAAGTCAGAGTTGCACAGAGAGAAGAGAGGCAGAGAGAGTGAGAGAGGTTTTCCATCCTTTAGTTCACTCCCCAATTGGCCACAGCAGCTGGATCTGGGCTGATCCAAAGCCAGGAGCCAGGAGCTTCTTCCAGGTCTCCCACGTGGGTGCAGGGGCCCAAGGGCTTGCGCCATCTTTTACTGCTTTCCCAGGTCATGGCAGAAAGCTGGATCGAAGTGAAGCAGCTGAGTCTCGAACCGGCACCCATATGGGATGCCAGCACTGCAGGTGGCCACTTAACCTGCTATGCCACAGTGCCAGCCCCTTAAAAGTTTTTTTTTTAAAGATTTATTTATTTAGTTAATAAAATCTTAAAAAATTCAGTTTTATAACCATTACCATGATACATTTTAGAGTACTTTTTATTATCCCAGAAAGAACTTTGTACCAATTAGTAGTCACTTCCACTTTTCCCCAATCGTCCCATCCCTAGGCAACTAATTGACTTTCTTTTCTTTCTTTCTTCTTCTTTTTTTTTTAATAATAAGATCATATCTTTTTTTTAAAAGATTCATTTATTTGAAAGGCAGAGTTACAGAGAGAGAAAGAGAGAGAGAGAGAGATATCAATCTTCCATCCTGGGTTCACTCCCCAAATAACTCCTGGAGCCAGGAGCTTCTTCCAGGTCTCCCACATGGGTGCAGGGGCCCAAGCCCTTGACCCATCTTGTACTGCTTTCCCAGGTGCATTAGCAGGGAGCTGGATTGGAAGTAGAGCAGCTGGGACTCCAACTGGCACCCAAATGGGATCCTGGCACTGCAGACAGCGGCTTAACCTGCTCCGCAACAGCACTGGTCCCTGATCTTCTTTCTGTCTCTGTGAGTCCATCCATCTGGATACTTCTATAAGTGGAGTCGTGCATTTGTGGTCTTTGGTGATTGGCTTCTTTCACTGACTGTGACGTTTGCAAGGTTGACGCATGCTGCTGCTCTGTGCTCATTTTACTGCCACATATATCCTGTGGTATGATGTACCATGTATATACACGTGGTATATCTAATATACCATGTTTGGCTCATCCATTTAGCCATGGAAGGACATGCGGGTTTGTTTCTCCTTTTTGGTCATTATGAATTATGCTCCTATAGTGTGCCTGTGCATGTTTTTGTTCTCCTGGGTATGTACTTCAGAGTGGAGTTGCTGGATCTTACGTATGTTCAGCATCGCGAGGGATGGCAGACTGTTTCTCCAAGTGCCTGCACCATTTTACATTCCCACCAGCAAGGTAGGAGAGTTCCAGTTACCCCAATTCTTGCTGTTACAGATTGAATTGGGTCCCCCCTTCCCCATTTGTATGTTGAGTCCTAACTTCTAGAACCTGAGAAGGTGAGTATATTTGGGAATAGGGTCATTGCAGATAGAATTGTTACGTTAAGATGAAGTCATCCTGGAGTCAGTTGGTGTACCATATTTTTTTCTTTAAGATTTATTTATTTGAAAGGGAGAGTTATAGAGAGAGGGGAGACAGAGGTCTTCCATCTGCTGGTTCACTCCTGAAATGGCCACAACAACCAGGGCTCCAGGCTGAAGCCAGGAACCAGGAGCTTCATCCGGGTCTCCCAAATAGGTGCAAGGGCCCAAGGACTTGGGTCATCTTCTGTTGCTTTCCCAGGCGCACCAGCAGGGAGCTGGATCAAAGTGGAGCAGCTAGGACTTGAACTGGCGGTACCCATATGGGCTGTCGGCACTGCTGGCCATGGCTTAACCCATTATGCCACAATGCCAGCCCCATGACTGTGTCCTTTCTAAAGAGGGGAAGTTTGGATGCAGAGGGGCGTGCAGGAAGAAGGCCATCTGAAGGAGGAAGTTACACTGTGCAGGGCAGGAAAGAGATGATGAGACTCTTCTCTCAGCCATCCAAAGGATCACAGCACACACCCACAATAAGAAGTTAACAAGAGGCCGGCGCCGCTGCTCACTAGGCTAATCTTCCACCTTGTGGCGCTGGCACACTGGGTTCTAGTCCCGGTCGGGGTGCCGGATTCTGTCCCGGTTGCCCCTCTTCCAGGCCAGCTCTCTGCTGTGGCCCGGGAGTGCAGTGGAGGATGGCCCAAGTCCTTGGGCCCTGCACCCCATGGGAGACCAGGATAAGTGCCTGGCTCCTGCCATCGGATCAGCGCGGTGTGCCGGCCGCAGCGCGCCAGCCGCGGCGGCCATTGGAGGGTGAACCAACAGCAAAGGAAGACTTTTCTCTCTCTCTCTCTCTCTCTCTCTCACTGTCCACTCTGCCTGTCAAAAAAAAAAAAAGTTAACAAGAGAAAAGCATAACGTATTTTTACACGACATAGGAGCCTTCGGAATGAAGACTCAAAGATACAGAGGAAAAAGCTATCTAATTTTAGGGTTAAGTTGAGGAAGTAGGGACAACAGGTGGAAATATGATTGGATGAAAAGGATCTGAGCTAATGCATGTCTGTCCAGGTTCTCCCTGGCCGCCTGTTACAGCATTTTCTCCTCCCAGGTATAGGTCAGGACTCCTCTGGAATGAGGGTCTTAATTTCTTTATGGCCAGCTGTCACACAGATAAAGGAGGTGGGGACGGTCTGAGTGATATTTTTAGGCATTATGGCTTGCTTTGGGGAAAAGGGGGTCTAGTTTCTGTAACACACCTTGGGAAGAGGAATTCTAGTGTCTGTGGCTTGCCTTGAGGATAGAATGAAGAGGGGCAGGAGAAAGTCAGGGAGAGACTTAACTTTCTGACGCCTAACACTCTCTTTCAGTTCAAAGCACTCAGCAGCCACGGTGCCATTGTCTGGACGCTCATTTGCTGAGCTCCAGCAGCTGCCACCAGCCGAGGAATCAGCAGAAGCTTGGAGAGAGGCCCAGAGGAGACCCTGCCCTGTGCCTTCAGAGGCAGTGCAGCCCTGCGGACACTTTGATCTTGGACTTCAGCCTCCGGAACCATGGAACACTAAGTAAATCAGCCGCTCAGTTGGTGCTGCTTTGTTACGGTAGGTTTAGCAAACTAATTTGCTCTCTGACACTTGTTATTTTCCATCTTTTAAAAATTATTGTAAGCAGCCAGCTGGGTGTGAAGCCTGAAGCAAAGGAAGTTGAGCATCTTTTCACGTGCTTGTTTGGATGCCCTCTTTGGATGACCATCTATTTAAATAATTTGCTTATTTAAAAAAAAATGGGTTGGGGCTGGTGCTGTGGCGTAGTGAGTAAAGCTACTACCTGCAGTGCCGGCATCCCATATGATCACTGGTTCCAGTCCCGGCTGCCCCACTTCCAGCTCTGCTGTGGCCTGGGAAAGCCGTAGAAGATGGCCCAAGCACTTGGGCCCCTGCACATGCATGGGAGATCTGGAAGAGGCCCCTGGCTCCTGGCTTCAGATCAGCACAGCTCTGGTCATTGTATCTGTGTCTGTAACTCTAACTCTCAAATAAATAAATAAAATCTTTAAAAAAAAAAAGAGTCATCAGTTTAAATAATATATCAATGAAAGCTTGGGTAATGGAAGCAAAGAGAATGTGGATAATGATTGTTAATTATTTTTATTTTTAATTTTTATTTATTTATTTTAAGGGCCAAGTTACAGAGAGGCAGAGGCAGAGAGAAGTCTTCCATCAGCTGGTTCATTCCCAAACATATATTTATTTGTAAGAGTTCCAGTGAGAGAGGGAGAGACAGAATGAGAATCTTCCAACTGCTGGTTCACCCCCAATCTGCGGCAAACCAGATGGAAGTCAGGATCCAGGAACTCCATTGGGGTCCCCCACACTGGTATCAGGAACCCAAGTTCATGGGCGATCATCTGCTGCTTCCCAGGTGCGTGCGCAGGAAGCTGATTGGAAGCACCGAGTGCCAGAACTTGAACCAGGCACTCTGATGTGAGTGTCCCAAGGGGTGGTGTAACCTGCTGGGCCACAGCATCCACCCCCCACGTTCAAGTTCTTTAATAGCTGTAGAGAGACTCTGGTCTTCTGTTCCTTCTTAGAAAACTTTGGTGATGAATAGATTTCAAGGATTGTGTCTAAGAAACAACTTTTGGTTTCTTTGGGTTGCTCTATTGCTTTTAAAAAATTTTGGCTGAATTTATAATCAATTGAAACTATTTGAATGCATTTTCACTTTTTTAAAAAAAGATCTGTCGCTCCCCCTCTTCGCGGAGGAACGACACAGGACCCTGCGCTGTTCTTTTGTCTGCTCTGCCCTCCCCGGGTTTGCTGCTGGTTCTTCCCGGGTTGGCTACGACCCTTCCACCTCCGTGGAAGGGCGGTTCCCCCTGCCACTTTCCCCACTTCCGCGGGGGAGTGGCACACCGCGGGCTGGCTCTCTCAGGGGCTGCTCAGATGTTCCTCAGGTGTTCCTGGTGCATGTTGTCTCTCTCCTCCTTTATAGTCCTCTTCCACCAATCCCAACTCTGCTACCCACACGCCGAGTATGCTGCTCTCCTCCAATCAGGAGCAGGATCAGCTCCTGCAGGTCATCACTCAAGTTGGCGAGAGGCAGCTGCATAGAAGTTGTTACTCCCTTCTCAGCGCCATATTGTGGGAGAGCAGATGCATAGAATAAGTCTTAATTCCAGTAACTTAGTCTAGTCCGAGTTGCTCCCCACAGATCTATTTAATTATTTGAAAGGCAGTGTAACAGCGTGGGTGGGGGGGTGGGGGGGTAGAGATTGTCTTCCCTCTGATGGTTCACTCCCTAAATGGTTGCAATGGCTGGAGCTGGGCCAATCTGAGGTCAGGAGCCAGGAGCTCCTTCCAGGTCTCCCATGTGGGTACAGGGGCCCAAGGACTTGAGCCATCTTCTGCTTTCCCAGGCCATAGCTGAGAGCTGGATCGGAAGTGGAGCAGCTGAGACTGTAGTGCCCGCACTACAGGCCACGGCTTTACCTGCTACGCCACAGTGCCGGCACCATTTTTCCTAATCTTTTAAACTGAAAGTCAATTCTACTTGTTTGGCTCTTCTTTCTTAATATAGGTTCTAGGTGCTAGGCAAGCATTTCTCTTAAGTACTGCTATTAACATTCCACAAATTTTGATGTGTCGTATTTTTTAATTTTCAAAAAAGTTTTTATGTATATATTTGAAGGTGAGCGAGAGAGAGAGAGAGAGACAGAGAGAGAGACTGACTCCCTCCTACTGGTTCACTCCCCACATGCCCACAGTGGTTATGGCTAGGTCATATGGCTAGGTCTCTCACCATGTGGCAGAAACCCAGCTACTGTAGCCATTAACTGCTGCTTCCAAGGGTCCGCATTTGCAGAAACCTGGAACTGGGAAGGGAGCTAGGCCTTGAACGCCAGCATTCTGATGTGGGACGTGGTGCCTTAACTGTTAGCTAAATGCCAGCTCCCCTGAGTTTTCATTTTTATTAACTTAAAATACTTTCTAACTTCAAAGCTGGCTGATAGGGTCATTCCTATCTTCCATGGCATTATGAGTTTCTGTCTACTTGTACCCATCAATTATTGAGAGAGGGATACAGAAATCTCTAAATATAATTGCAGATTTGTCTGTTTCTCCTTGAGTCCTATAAGTTTTTGCATCATGAGTTATGAAACTGGTTTTAGAAGCATAAACATTTAGATTTATATCCATTTTTTAAAGACTTATTTTATTTATTGAAAGGTAGGGTTACAGAGAGAGATAGGAAGAGACAGAGAGAGAAAGATTTTCTATCTACTGGTTCACTCTCCAAATGGCACAATGGCCAGGGCTGGGCCAGGTGAAGCCAGGAGCCAGGAGTTTCTTCCAGATCTCCCACATGGGTGTAGGGGACCAAGGACTTGGGCCATCCTCCTCTGCTTTTCCAGGTGAATTACAGGGAGCTGTATCTGAAGTGGAATAGCCGGGACTCAAACTTGAGCCCATATGGGATGCCTGTGTCTCAGGTAGAGACTTTACCTGCTATGCCACAATGCATATAATTATATTTTTTGATGAATTCATCTCTTTGTCATTGTAAAATTCCCTTCTTTATTCCTGATTGTATTTGTTTTCTCTGAAATCTATTTTGTCCATTATAAATAGCCGTTCCAGAACTCTTTATATTTTTTATAAGAATCATTTGAATGGGAGAATGACAGAGAGGGAGAGAGGGAGAAGGAGAGAGAAGGAGAGAGAGAGAGAGAGCGAGTGAGCATCCATCCATCCTCTGGTTCACCCCCCCCCCCCAATGGCTACAACAAAGCCAGGAGCCCAGAATTCCATCCTGATCTCCCATGTGGGTGCAGAGGCCAATCACCTGGGCCATCCTGCACTGCCTTCTCAGGTACATTAGCAGGAAGCTGGATTGGAAGTGGAGCTGCCAGAACCCAAATCAAACTGGTACTCTGATATGGGATACTGGCATCCCAAGCAGTGAGTTAACTTGTTGTGCCAAAATGCTGGCCCTGGGAATTCTTTTATTATAGTACTATATATATATATTTTTTTTTTTTCTATTCTTTTACTTTTTTTTTTTTTTGATGGTGGGCAGTGGGGTGGGGGGAGAGACAGATTATTTACTTGTTTCCACCCCAGATTTCCCAGAGGCTGGAACTGGGCTGTGCCAAAGCTGGGAGCTATGAGTTAGGAACTCAGTGCAGGTCTCCCAGGTGGCTGGCAGGGACCCAACTACTTGAGCCAACATTTACAGCCTCCCAGAGTCTGCCTTAATAGTTATTATTGACGTTTACCTGCAAGCTTACCCTTTCTGGTGCTTTCCGTTCTGTCTACGTGTCTCCCTGGGAACTTGGCCTTCCAGGCCCTGCTTGCCTTGGTTGCTCTTGTGTGTTGTCCAACAACTGTGATTTAATATCTTATCCAGGTTTTTGTTTTGTTTTTCCCCTGAAAAGAGCTTACTTCCATTTGTTCCAAGGCTTGAGAGAAGGCTCCAGGGTGACTAAAACACAGGCTCCCAGTCGTGCTGCAAGGGGGCATTGGGGAGGGACATTCGCCTGGCCTCCCTGGAGGCAGTGGCCCACACCCTCCGGAGCTGCGTGGTGGCCATCCAGGTAGAAGCCCAGGGAGAGAGATATAAACTGTCCCTGGGTGGAGGGTGGCCGCCACTTTGGGGGGAATAATTCTGAGGAACCGGGGAAAGCTCCTGGCGGATCAGAGATAGGGAGGGTGTGGGCTGGTCTGCATGGAGGTGGCTGAGATGGAGGTTCTGGAGGCGGGGCTGGAGTGGAGAGTGGAGGGCAGAGGAGGCTGCCGGGCAGGGCTCCCGGGGCTGCTCGTGCAAGCCCTGCTGGAGCCGGAGGCAGGGAGGCAGACCGCGGGGTGCTGCTCACCTCGCTTTCGTGTTTGTTTTCAGTGGAGGCTGCTGTGATCCAAGCGCTCCATCATAGCAGAGCTCCTGTGCCCGTTTCCGTCTTTCCCACATGCCTGGTTCTCTCTGTGTACCTAGGATGGCTCCCTAAACACAGCCAGTCATTTGGGGCCCGTCTCAGCTCCTGCCCACTCCCCTGGCATGCTTTCTGAGCCTGTACCTCCACCTGTGCCCCCAGGTGACCCTCTGTGGCATCACTTGTCACACTGCTCTATAACATGTGCCCTTCCTCTAGGCCAGACTCCCAGAGACTCCCACACCTAGTGCAGCGCCTCCTACATCTGTGAGATGGCTCAATGACAGGCATATCCTTCCTATGATCCCCCTTCTTTGTTTTAGAGTTTTTTTTTTTTAATTTGAAAGGCAGAGAGAGAGAGAGAGAGCGAGCGAGCATCCATTCACTGGTTCATTCTCCAAATGGCCACAATGGCTAGGGTTCCAACAGGCTGAAGCCAGGAGCCAGGAGTTTCTTCTGGGTCTCCCACATGGGTTCAGGGATTCAAGCACTTGAGCCATCTTTTGCTGCTTTTCCAGGAATATCAGCAGGGAGCTAGATGGGAAACGGAGAAGCTGAGGCTCCAACCAGCGCTTCCAGTATGGGATGTGGGCATTGAAAGTGGTGGCTTAACCCATGACAAGGCAAGATCCTCCCCCCTCCCCCCAAACACAAAGGCTTGCTATGATGGTAGCAGTTTATTCCAAGGCAAAGAGGTAGCATACATTTCATCAGTGACACAGGATAGCTAATCCTTACACAGCCTGGGACATAATTTGAGAACTAAACAGTGGTTTAGGTGTGGAGATAGAACTTGTGACTGGGCTGTGTTGTCCTCTCCAGCCCTTCCTAAGAGCTTCCAACCTCCCCGCCATGATGGCTACTCAGCAGTAGGGTCTTTCTCTTATCTTCCTGCTGGCAGACTTTGTCCCCCATTCACCCTCTTCTCCAAATGCTGTTTGCCTGTTCATTGGTTTTGCTTACTCGGAGCTTCTGCTTTGTCACAGCCTCACGGCGTCTTCTACCTGCCACCTCTCTGTGCGTTCGCTCAGTTCCTCCCCTGTCATCACCTTCCCACCTCTCATATCACTTCCAGCTCCACAAGAAAGAGAATCTGGTTGGTTCAGTTCAGACACCGTCCCTTTGGTCGGTGTCCTGTGTGGGCCACCTCACAGCCTCTGCTTGTTGACTTAGTAATTGTGCACAGGCCACTGGCCCCCTGCTAGACTGTCCCCACTGGGTAGGTGCCCGATCCTGGGGAGGAGTGTGGAGGGCAAGGTTGAGTAGTGTACAAACAGCATGGAGATGGAGATCCATGTTTAAGAAACTGCCTTGGGAAGGAGCAGTGGACATACCATGGATTCTAAGCTTTGGCGTTGGGGTGGGGGGTACCATTTGTTTCGAGGCTTTTGTCTAGCAACGGTTGAAAATAATTCAAAATTGAGAATCCTGGTGCTAAGGGAGCGACAGTTTGTGTTACTGGTCAGCGAGAGCATCTCTTACTTGAAATAATGAGTCCTATAGGTGGTAGAGTTAATATTTTTCTTTGTTTTGAGTTTTTAAGAAAGATTTATTTATTTGAAAGGAGAGAGAGGGAGAGAGAGAGGGATAATAAACAGATATTGTCTGCTGGTGCATTACCCAAATCCCTGTAATAGCTGGGGCTGGGCCAGGCTGAAACCAGAAGCCAGGAACTCCATCCAGGCTTCCCACATGGGTGGTAGGAACCCAGGACTTAGCTCGTCTTCTGCTGCCTCCCAACTATATTAGAGGAAGCTGGCTGCAAAGCCAAGTAGCTGGGACTCAAACTCTGATATGGGATGTGGGCAACCCAAGCGGCGGCTTAGCCTACCGTGCCACAGTGCCTGCCCCCTTTTCTTTTGGATAGAGCCAGTTTTAAGATGAAATGAAAGAACTGGCTCATATCCCGGCCTGACGTATGGTTGCCCCACTTCTTGTCCCAACAAGGGAGCCAGGAGTCCCCGGAAAATTCTGTCCCCTGTAACTGTGACGTAGATAATCTGGGTTTGGGAGGGATTCACAGGAAAGTAGCTTATAATGTTTGATTTGACCATGAATTAACTGCACATTTCCTAAATGAAATCAGCGAATCCACTGAGTAACTGTTGAGATGATTGTTCTGGAGGCTGGATAACGCCAGCTACACGTGGGATTGCATATTGATACAATCTTTCCTGTTAAATAGTCCAGTCCTCTCTTTCTCTCTCTCTCTCCCTCCCTTCCTTTTTCTCTATCTTTCCTTCCCTCTCTTACTCCCTTCCTTTTTCTCTCTCTTTCCTTCCCTCTCTCCTTCCTTCCCCTCCTTCTTCTTTTACAATATTTTTCTTTATAGAAAAATTATGGGGGCTGGCACTGTGGCATAGCTGGTAAAGTCACTGCCTGCAGTGCCAGCATCCCATATGGGTGTTGGTTTGAGTCCTGCTCCATTTCCAGTCCAGCTCCCTGCTAATGTGCCTGGGAAAGCAGCAGAAGATGGCCAAAGTCCTTGGGCCCCTGCACCCTCATAGGAATCCTGGAAGAAGCTCCTGGCTCCTGGCTTTGGATGGGCCCAGCTCCAGCCCGTTGGCAGCCATTTGGGGAATGAACCAAAGGATGGAAGATCTCTCTCTGCCTCTGCCTCTCTGTAACTCTGCCTTTCAGATAAATAAATAAATCTTAAAAAAAAGGAAAAAGTATGAAATGCATCATGTACACTTAAGTGTATTAAATATATATGTACAGTTTAAATATCTGTAGTTCATAAACATCTGTGTTCACACTACTCAGGTTAAGAAACAAATATTGGGCTGGGTGTTTGGCCTGTGGGTTAAGTTGCCACCTGGGATGTGCACATCCCATATCAAGTCCCTGAGTCAAGCTCTGCTTCCAATCCAGCTCCCTGTTCATTTGCAGCTTGCACGGCAACAGGTGATGGCTCAGTAGATGTGTCCTTGCCACCCACACGGGGGACCCAGATTGGGTGCCAGGCTCCTGGCTTCAGCTTGTTCCAGCCCTAGCTGTTGTGGCCATCTGGGGAGTGAACTGGTAGATGAAAGATCTCTCTCTCTCTCTCTCTCTCTGCCTTTCAAATAAATACATAATTAATTTTTAAAAAGAAGCAACTATTATGAAAGTGTCCTATACCCTATAGGCCCTTACAATTATATCCCTTTCCTCCAGAGAGCCAACCTCCTGCTATCTTCTATGTTAGCTATCTTCTAATATTTTTTATTTTTTTATTTTTATTTATTTTTTATTTAAATTTTTTTGACAGGCAGAGTGGACAGTGAGAGAGAGAGACAGAGAGAAAGGTCTTCCTTTGCCGTTGGTTCACCCTCCAATGGCCGCCCCGGCCGGCGCACTGCACTGATCCGATGGCAAGAGCAAGGTACTTCTCCTGGTCTCCCATGGGGTGCAGGGCCCAAGGACTTGGGCCATCCTCCACTGCACTCTCTGGCCACAGCAGAGAGCTGGCCTGGAAGAGGGGCAACTGGGACAGAATCCGGCACCCTGACCGGGACTAGAACTCGGTGTGCCGGTGCCGCAAGGCGGAGGATTAGCTTAGTGAGCCGCGGCGCCGGCCCTCTTCTAGTCTTTTTAAAAACAATTTCAACACTCTGGATTCCTCTATCATATATTGTTTATAATGTGCACAAAATGAATTCAGTAAGGAGAGTGTATATCAGCAGTAGCTACTTTTTTAAAAAAAAATTATTTATTTATTTGGAAGAGTTACTGAGAGGCAGAACAGAGAGAGAGAGAGAGAGAGAAAAGTCTTCTATCCTCTGGTCCACTCCCTAGATGGCCACAACAGCCAGACCTGCGCTGGTGTGAAGCCAGGAGCTAGGAGCTTCCTCTAGTCTCCCATGCATGTGCAGGAGCCCAATGACTTGGGCCATTTTCTACTGCTTTCCCAGGCCATAGCAGAGAGCTGGATAGGAAGTGGAGCAGCTGGAACTCGAACCGGCGCTCCTATGGGATGCTGGTGCTGCAGACAGGGGCTTTAACCCACTGTACCATAGCACTGGCTCCAGCAGGAGAAGGTAAGATGACAGAGTTTCAAGTGGGCATTTGGCTTAATGGTTGAGATACTGCTTGGCCAGAGGGGAATGTTGTGGTGAAGTGGGTTAAACCACTGCTTGGAATGGCAGAATCCATATCAGAGTGCTGACCTGCTCCCAGCTACTCTGCTTCCAGCCCAGATCCCTGCTAATGTACCTGGGAAGCAGCAGATGATGTCTTGAGAACTTGGGCACCTGCCACTCACATGGGAGACCAGAATAGAGTGCCTGACTCCTGGCTTTGACCTGGCTCAATCTTGGCTGCTGTAGCCATTTGAAGGGTGAACCAGGAGATGGAAATATATTTTTTATCATCTATCTATCTAATTATCTATATATCTATCTTCTATCATCTATATATTATGTTGTCTATCATCTTTCTACCATCTATATATCTATGTTATCTATCATTTATCTCTCCTTCTCTGATGCTCTGCCTTTTAAATCAATCAGTCAATAAATCTTTTTTTAAAATTATTTATTTATTTGAGAGGCACACAGAAAGGGAGAAACAGAGAGAAAGGTCTTCCATCCACTGGTTCACCCCCAAAATGGTCGCAATGGCAGGAGCTGAGCTGATCTGAAGCCAGGAGCCAGGAACTTCTTCTGGGTCTCCCACGTGCCACAGGCAGAGGCATAGCCCACCATGATACAGCAATGACCCTATAAATCTTTTCTTTTTTTTTAAGATACTGCTTTGGATGACCACATCCCATATCAGAGTACCTGGATTTTAGTCTTGGTTCTGCTTCCAATTCCAGCTTCCTTTTAATGTGCACCCTGGGAAACAGCAGGCGTTGGCTCAAGTACGTGGGTCCCTGCCACCCATGTGAGAGATCTGGATTGAATTCTTGGCACCTGGCTTTGAGCTGGACCAACCCCAGCTATTGGGGACATTTGGAGGATGAACCAGTGGATGAGCGATCTCTGTCTACCTTTCAAATAAATAGATAAATATTGGCAAACAACATGCGATAACTGAAGCCCTTTGCACTTTTGAGCTCTGATAGTTAGGGCCTTCTGCCTAAGAGTAAATAAATAAATAAAAAGAAGACAGAATCTCTGGGGTTGGGGGTGACCTCGCTTTCCCTGAGAGTTCATGGGGCAAAGGCATGGGTGAGTCCATGGGACATTTTTGGGCCTCATCCAAGCAGGGGCACCTGGCAGGCAGGAGGGGCAGCCACGGACTGGATGTGGGGCAGGGACACGAGCCGGGAGATGGGCTGCTCTGTGTTTCCCGAATCCAAGCTCCCACAGCTCTCGGGAATGGGTCAGAGCGAACACTTTGGTGATGGGAGAAATAAGCATCTTCAGATAACCCAGGCAGGAGAGCAACGAGGAAGCGCAGGAGCCTCATCCACCTGTGGTCAGCACAGCCCCCTGGTGCCGCCGTGGTCAGAGCAGCTGAAGGTTTGTGCGGTCCTGGGGTCTGGGGTCGCCTCTGTGTATAGACCCAGAATAATGCATAAGAAGGAGTGAGCTCTTGGACTTGTGGGATTCTCCTGTTTGCCCCATGGTGACTCTAGTGGGCACCCCAGATGCTTCCCCCTCTTGGTGTCCCTCGCTGGGAACTGCAGAGCAGCCGGCTGCTCACACACCATGCAACAAGGGAAGAGATACAATTTGTCTGGCTTCTTTTTTTTTTAATTTATTTTAAAGTAATAGTTACAGAGAGAGAGAAGGAGAGACAGAGAGAGAGAGGTCTTCCATCCACTTGTAACTCCCCAGTTGGCCGCAATGGCCAGAGCTGCGCTGATCCGAAGCCAGGAGCCAGGAGCTTCTTCCGAGTTTCCCCCGTGGGTACAGGGGCCCGAGGGATGCTGGCACTGCAGGTAGTGGCTTTACCTGCTACACTACAGTGCTGGCCCCCTGGCTTCTTTTTAACATACAACCTCATCAGAGCACAAGCTTAAAAGCCTGGCACGATGTTATTTGCAGTCAGGGCACAGGAGGACAATGCCACAGACGCCAGAATCAAACCTTATAATATAGAACTTGAACCACCCACTCTGCCTAAGGAGGACCCAGATAATCTAGACTTGCTGCACTGACTGTGAATCTGAGAATGCTTTGCATTCAACCATATGGTCTCAGACCTTGCCACACAGCCCATATTGTCCTCTTAGTATCCTGTACAGTTTTTTCTTTTCAATATTTATTTATTTATTTGAGAGGCAGAGGCAGAGACAGAGGCAGAGAGAGAGAGAGAGAGAGAGAGAGAGAGAGAGATCCTCCATCCACCGGTTCATTCCCCAATATCCACAACAGCTGGAGTTGGGCTGATCAAGAGCCAGGAGCTTCCTCCAGGTCTCCCATGTGGGTTTTTAGGACTCACTTGTCCTAAATTTTAAGGACTCACTTGTCCGTTCATCCAGGAACCATAAATACTTGTCCCTGTACTCTGCTGGGTCCTGGAGATACGGCAGCAAAACTGAAGTGATCTCACTTTTATGGACTTACATTCTCGAGGAGGAGCTGGCAATGAGTTAAATAGTTGTTCAACAGGTGCACAATTACAGCTACTCTGACTTTTTCTTTTTTAAAAAGAATTTATTTATTTATTTTAAAGAGTTACAGAAGGAGAGGCAGAGAGAGAGAGAGAGAGAGAGAGAGAGAGAGAGAGGTCTTCCTCCTGCTGGTTCACTCCCCAGTTGTCCTCAATGGCCAGAGCTGCACCTTTCGGAAGCCAGGAGCCAGGAGCTTCTTCCAGATCTCCCACACGGATGCAGGGGCTCAAGCCTTGGGCCATCTTCTGCTGCTTTTCCAGGCTCATTATTAGGGAGCTGGACTGGAAGTGGAGTGGTTGGGACTTGAACTGGCACTCATAGGGGATGCCAGTGCTGCAGGCAGAGGCTTAACCTACTACATCACAGCACCAGCTCCAGTGCAATTCTTTGAAGGTACACATTTTCCCTGAACTTTCTGAAGACCCCCACATAAGGACAAGGCAAGACCTGCATGGTCTAGGCATTGGTATTGGACAGCAAAGATAAAGAAGAGCCAAGGCCTGGGGAGGGAAGTAGAGCTAAGAAATCTCAGAAAGCTGCTCTGTTTATTAGCAGATGGAAGTAACAGCAGGGGGAATTCTCTAAGTTAGAAGAGGAACCCTGGGGGCTGGTGCTGTGTAGTAGCCTGCAGTGCCGGCATCCCATATGGCTGCTCCTCTTCCCATCCAGCTGTCTGCTATGGCCTGGGAAAGCAGTGGAAGATGACCCAAGTCCTTGGGCCCCTGCACCCACGTGGGAGACCCAGAGGAAGCTCCTGGCTCCTGGCTTCAGATAGGCGCAGCTCCAGCCATTCTGGCCATTTGGGAGTGAACTAGCAGATGGAAGACCTATCTCTCTCTTTCTCTGCCTCTCTGTAACTTTGCCTTTCAAAAAACAAATAAATCTTTAAAAAAAAAAAAGTACCCTGAACCACAGCTGTGCTCAAAGTTCAGAAAAGTCAATCTCATGTAAAAGTAAGTGATAGGCTGGCATTTGGTGTAGCATTTAAGACACCGCTTGGGATGCTTCATCCCATATTTGAATGCTTAGATTTGAGTCCCAGCTTCCTGTTGATGGACACCTGGGAGGCAGTAGGTGATTCTCAAGTGGTTGGGTCCTTTTCACCCATGTGGGAGACTGGATTGAGTTTCTGGCTGCTGGCTCAAGCCTGGTCCAGCCCTGACTCTGTGGGCATTTGGGAAGTGAACCAGTGAATGGGAGACACCTCTCTTTCTCTCTTTCTCTCTCTCCCTCTCAAATAAGTTAAATAAATAAAAAAGTAATCTAAAAAGCAACAGGAAAATCTCGAGTCCAAGGTCCATGTGCAGTTATTATAAGAGAATAAGGAAACACTATCCATAGCAAAGAAAGCATGCTCACAGAAGAGATAACAACTAACCCTGACGGTTTTAAACAAATATGAGAGATGTTAAGAATAACACAAGACATGAAAGAACAACACAGATCAGATTTGAAAAACTCTGAAATGT